AATCATAGAGTAAATGAATAACCAACATAAAATTCTAATTCATCTTGTAGAAATATATATTATATTTATTGTTAACAGTTATAACATACAAAAACGCTATTCAGGTTTTATATTCTAATTAAGGAATGAAGGAGAGACACGTATACAAACATATATGGAAAGCAATATAGCTACAAGCTATCTACTAATAAAAGCACAAGTATATTTTAGTTTATGCTGTACCTTCCCATTATCTAAAGTGATTCAGTCTCTAACTTTGATCCTAAAATATGCCAAAATAAAAATATTGCTGTTTCCTTCTATAACACATTTGCAATTTGTATGTTATTCAGCCACTTAAAGGCGTACTACGGTTCATTTTTAAAATAAACAAGCTTTGCATCAAAATCTATCCAGGGTGCATCTAATTCAAATTTGAGACACACTGAGAGACTGAGTCACAACATCAGTCAAGCGGCAAAAGTATTAGACAAAGAGCCATCAACTAATTATACTGCATATAAGCAATTACTCCTAAATAATTAAATCACAACTTCCTATCATTTTCTTAACCTCACAACTAATCATTTTAAATATTCCAAGCTACATGAGAGTCTTACGTGAACATGCATTTGTGACACTGGGGAGGAAATGTTTTATACTGATTTATACCATCACCATGGCACCATCTATAAGATTTCTTAAATTCAAAACAACAATGTTGTCTCTAATATGTAGACTTGCCATATTTCTTTTCTCTTGAAATTTTTGCTTATCTCATATAAAAATAATGACGAGTCCATCTCTAATGCTGTTATCACATTTCCATAATGCAATTCATTAATTCACATTTAAAAAAAATTATATCCAGTTATGGGATCAGTCTCGTCTTTAAAATGACCACTGACCTGATCTCCCTACATTTTTTCTTAACAGGGTGCTATAAATCGTGTCTTATTTGTCATATTTCACCCATGAAAGGGTACAAAAAGATGTAAAACAGGATGATGTGTGTATAAACTATCCAAGTTGTTAACATATAATAACACTAAAAGCATTCAGTCAAATGAGGAAAAATAAAAATTGTAAATTCTCTGCCATGTATCTTATGAGGTGATGTTGACCCTATAGTGCATTTGGGAATACTAAATACAAAGATACACACTGATCTGCATAAAAACACAGCAATAAATCATGAATTCAGGAATAACTATGTTTTTTGTTTAATTTAAGGAAAAACATATTTAGGGCTTGTAATAAACTTATAACTTATACATGTAGCTTAAATGGAGTATACACTGAGGAGCTGAATATTTTTCAAAATTTTTACATATTCATTTTCTCCCATCTAGATGTTAGTCTAAAACACATATTACTCATAGTACATTAAACAAAATAATCATGACATGACACATCAATATCTTTTTTTGTTAATTAGTCACAATACAATTCACAATTCACTAACCATACACATATAAGAGTTCATTAAGGTGGGCCTTGTTGAATCATTTTGGTTATATTTCTGCATGATGTTAGAACGTGAGAAAGCTTTAAGTTATCAAGGAAAAAGGAGAGTGTAACATTTTGAAAACTTCAGAATAAATATTTGAAGAGATGAGATATCTGGTCAAATATTGAGTTCAAGATGCAGAATTGTCAAAATTTATTAGAATTGAAAAAGGCAAGTTAAAGTAAATTTGTAACTATCTTTAGTTGATCTTTTAATGAGCCTAATATTCATTCTACTTTATTAACATTATTAATTAGAATGTTAAGAGTGGAACGTTGACAAAAGTTGATAACATTTTATTGTGTGCTTATTAAAATTCTCAAAATGTTAGAAAATAGCTCTAGATCTATCTATCTATTGCCCATGGTTACAACATTACATGTCTGGTGACATGTTATTGGTTAACATTAAAAATGAGAGAATAAATGAGAGAATGATTCAAAACAAACCCAATTTGAGGCCAGTGTTTGCTCATTAATAAAGAGAGAAAGGGACTCAATATACTGAACATGTCCCAAAAGAAAAGAGTTTACGAGTGGTACATTTTAGAGAAAGTGAATTTTAATTTGAAATTGGCACAACTTAAGAGAAACATGTAGAACCCTAGGATAAACATATTGTAAAGAATTCACTTGCTAAGGTTTTACTGTATACACTATACAATGTTTATAGGCTTATATGCACATGTTTATAGGTTTATATGCACATGTTTATAGGTTTATATGCACATGTTTTTGTGTTTACATTCTTAACATAAAGATACACTATTTTGTGACCTATATCTTAGAGCTACAGTAATTACAAAGTCAAAGTGACATTATAATGCAAGGTAAACATAAATAAAGCTCACTGTAAAAAGCTTTTTTAAGAAAACAAAGGCAGCCGATTTATATTTAAAAGCTACTAGAGCACTCTTGCTGCTGGTAAACATATTCTATTAAAAGCTTCTAGACATAAAAACATAGCATAAAAATAATAGCATTCACCTGTCCCCCCCCCCCCCCCCCCCCCCGCATTATAGCTCTGAAGCGAATTACAAGACAAGGCATTAACATGCAAAATTTCACCACCTGCCAATTGTTACAGCCGCCAACCACCAAACACCAGCCAAAAACGTTGGAGACTATAACATTATGTAAACATATCTGGTGGTGACATAACGAGCACTACCAAACAGATAAGAAGATTACAAAAGCTACAAGTATCATTTATATAAAATATAATTTGATTAAGACATACTATTATATACAAACATTATCTCCATGGCAACGGCAAGTTTTTCTGGTTATACAAAAGTATATAAGTTTTGCATCAAGTCTCTGTTACACCACATCTACCTATTTTTACCAGGCAGTTTTTCTTCAAGTGGGTGCAAAATTTTCAAAGAAAATGTCATTTTTCCTGTTTCAGAGGATAAGTAATAGGAACACAGAGGCTTGATACAAAACTACGGGTATTTATTGTTAATTCATTTTCTAATGCTTAAAGGCTCTTCATATACATTTTGAAATATACATTGTACATACATTAACCATATGAAAATAATCAAACTAAAATATAATGTAATGTATAATGTAATATAATACAGAATTATGTATGGAATGCATATAATATAATATAAACAGATTACAACTGTATTAGGAATGTTTTACTAGTCAATCATGTACATGTATATGTAGTATGTACAGTAAAACCTGTGTAAATGTAACACCATTGGAACCTCTAATAAGTGCAATGTTCCACTTGTAGAGGTTCATTTAACATTAAGTCAGTTGGTCTTGGGACTGAAAAGTGTTCCACTTACAGAGGTGTTCCACTTCAAAGGTTTCACTGTATTTTATTTAATATGTATCATAATACAAGATATGTTAAGTTTCCTGACAAGTGTGACAACTCTATATACATATAACTCTCAGTTAATCAACAATTCGATACTGCAGTATTTTCTCATCTTACACCTACGTATACACAACTAATTAGATCGTATTTCTCCGAAGAATGCGTAAAGAACTTTCAATAATCTATTAGATTTCTAATTGGACAAAAATAACTGAAGACATGAACCTTAAATCGTATTCTCTACAAGTCAGACTCACAAGCAAATTGGGAGTGGGGTCAATGATTTTGATCATTCAGATCCTACATGTGAACCTATTGCCCCAACAAGAATCTATATTATTACCACCTTGCCTGGCCTGTTCAAGGGGTATTAGTTCTAGTTTAGAAGGCATTTATTTTACTATATTGACTTGAGCTATATGTGAAGTCATAGTGGCGGGCCAATAATGGATTATCCGCCTGGCAATGTTTCCTGGGAAATGAGATATCGTTCAATGCATATAATTTTCAATCAGTAGTACTCTGTTCTTGCTATTTCAGCCCTGGGCATAAACGGTGGTAATACTACTAATAATGTTATTTCTGCGGGCAAAATAGTGAAATATTGGACCTTGGGCCTTCAGGCTTTGGTCCAATATTTCACTATATTGCCCTTTGAAATGACATTATTGCACAATTGTAACGTTTGATTAATAATCAACAGGTAGTAAACATAAAGGTCTTCATGAGCCTAATATACATTTTTTGGAATCATAAATGAATCTTATTTGAATCACATTTGTTCCTGAGGCCTCATCTGCCTTATTGTCCCTGATGGCAGAAAATTAAACCCTACAATGACAACATCTTTTCATATCTCATGTTTCATGACGCACAGTTATTTCAGGACAGCCATATTTGACTTTGGGTACACCATTCATTGTAAACAGGTATCTCATTATTGTCAATAAACTTTACATTTGAATTACCAGGTTATGTTACATTATCTGGAGGTTCCATGCAACAGCAAATTTTCTCAGTCGTTTTTACTGAAATTTCCCTTTGGGAGGGATTTTACAATTGTTTCCATTTTTAAAGCACTATTTTCCAATAATTTTAACTGTGGCCAGAGATTCTAATGAAACCCTGACAAATGATAGAATTTGATTAAAACTGATATGTTGTTATGGTGGAGGTACTCTAACATTGTCATAGCAACAGTATGTACAATACATAAGTATGTATCAAGGATTTAGGGTAATGTTCATGTACATGTTACCCTTAGAGGCAACCACATCATAGGACATTTCTCAACAAAGTAATAAATATACAAAAAAAGTGATGCAACAGTTTACTAAAAAGAATGATTAAGTTTTCTAAAAAACGTGAGCTAAAATTGTTGAATTTTAACTGCTGTTTTTGAAATATTGAAATAAAAAGTTTTGATACTACCAACTGTTCTTTAAAGAAGGACTGATAATTCATCCTAGGTTATTCAGATAATCAGATACTGGAGATATCATCCCTTAAGGCTAAAACAGAAGGAATGAGCAGTGGGTGATGTCTGGAGCGGTGTGTTCAGAGGATGCAGTGTTAGTTAACACTACAAAGCATAAATTGGGCTGTTTGTACTACATCATCATTCTCCAAACGCAGGGCTCCAAACATCATCCATATGTTCCTTCGTGGAAGAAGGAGGTATACATTCTGGAGGCCTGTGTTTGGAGGATGCACATCATATTTGATCATACATACAGGTTCACGGCTCACAATAACTTATACCATGTCAGGGGTTTCATTAGCAGCAGGCAACAGGCGATTTTCACAGATTGTTTTCACAAAATCGCCTGTTGTTCTATTAGGGACTTTTCAACTTTTCCATGTTACATTTAAGGTTCCCATTTATTTTGCCTGTTGTTTTCATTTACAAGTATATAGCCTCTTGTGAGAAATTCTAGTGAAACCCCTGCCATGTTCAGAGTAATCTCAAGTGTTCAGATCTGGAGCAGACCATTCACATTCATACACACAAAAATTATTATATTTTTTGTTTTCTTCAATATGAAATAGTTCCACTTAACTACTTCTGGTTGCCTCGACGACTGCAAATATTAAAACACCAGTGAGAAGTCCAGCAACAAGTGAGCATATAATTAATCGTTCAGCTTTCTTAGCGCATTTGCTAGCTTTTGTGAGGTCGCCTTGTTGTACACCAGCTTGAAATTCATCCCTTGTTTTGTTTGCATACACACAAGCAGGTATCCCAGTTGGGAAGAATAAAAATATAGATACAATTGAAAATACAGTTAACAGCGTCAGATCACGTTCTTTTAAAGGACGTACAACCTCTTGTCTTCGGTGTCTATTTGGAACTACTATTATCTTTGATCCGTCTGGCTTCTTAACAACCACTTTTTCTTTACGCAGAGCACTTTTAGGCTTTCCCTTCTCTTCTGCTGGTCCAGACTGATAATATATTGGATGCTCAGTGTTCTTATCATCATTGAAATGAACCCCCATTGATTTATAGTTTATGCGACTGATGGGTTGCTCACCGCCAGGGTCAAAAGATGGATTCACTTGTCCAAGATTTACAGAATCCAGTGAGCTGACATCTGCATCAGAGGCAGAAGATTCATGAACAATATCTTTCCAATTACGTTGAGGAGGTGCAGACATTTCAACTATACCTAGGTCAGGGTTAACGGGAATTGGTGCTACGGGAGGCTTTTGTACAACTTCCTTCTCCTTTTTAGGGAGACTTCGTCTTCTCTGTGGTGGCCGCTCCCTTCGTGATTGAACACCGCCATTTTCAGCAGTTCTTGATTGGGCACCATTTTGTTTTCTTTGAGATGAATCTCGTCTTGAGCTGTGGCTACTATCACTACTTCCCCTTCGTCGTTGACTCCCTGGTGACGTTCCTCTGCTAGATGTGGACCCCCTCCCTGGGGACTTACTTCTAGAGCGTCCACTTGAGCGTCCAGGTGAGGTACCCCTGCTGGGAAAGCTGCCTGGGTTAGGCCCAGACAGTGACGTTCTCACCTGCCTCCTCGGATTTGTTGACATTTTACTGAAAAATAAACATGTAACATTGATGATGCAAACCCAATTCTGATACATGTAAATTATGATGACGATGACTTTATCGATGACACAAGCACTTGTTATCTAACTTTTAACATGTTATATGTACTCTACTCTTCAACTCATTAAAGCTCTTGCAGATAGATAATAAATATTTATCAAAGTAGGTCATGTCATTATGTTATCATCCATGTTATCATGTTTCTGCATATTTGGACATAAAATATGCCTAAAGGTAGACATATGTTTTCAATATAATTTTCTTGTTTCATTCAAAAATTCCTTGTTTTCAAGCCAAATGTAGTTCCAGAAATAACTGATTGGACAGAGAGTCCACCTCTCCTCTCTCTCTCCCCCTCACCATCCATACAAATTTAATTATCTTCGTTCATTTTTTATATTATGTGTGGAAATTTCTTTTAAAAGCCAGCAGTGATATAATTTTGCGATAACATCTCTTTACAAGTTTTTGATCATTACAGGTCATGTAGACCGCCATTGCTTGATTTAAAGCAAAAACATCGACTTAACCATTTCTTCATGGCTTATGCTTCTTGTGATCTAATTGGTCCATTCGCGAAAATAAGGTGAGCAAGTACAGTTTTGCGGTCTTACATTTGCAATATTATCTGGCCATCAGAATAGCAAGATGAGCCGTATGAATTATTTTTTCCTAAATCATTTACAGGGTGATCTCTGCCTTTGACTATCAAATGTTGATATTAATGATGAAGATGTGTATTATTTCTTTGAACTATATCAACATTTTTTCTCAAATCTATGACCCTAGGATTGATCCTTGAAATACATCGCATATCGCATGGCCACTCAAAACTTTTCCTAAAATTGATTGGATGTTCATCATATAACTTCAGTCAAGGTGATCATCAAAATAATTGTAATGGTGCGACTCAAATTGATATGAACAAGAAAAGTATACCAAACTTAGCGAAAAGTATTCCATACATAAAATCGTGAGCCGAACTGGTAAGTTTTAAAATTAAAAATACCTAAAGTATTAGTATTACTCACCTGCCGTAAACTCAAAACTACGGTCCAATCATCAGTCATGTATCGCATTCATCGATTCATATTGACTCTGTACACGATTGAGAGCACTTTATACTAAAATCGCTATTACATACAACCAGTAAAACACGAAAATGTTACTAATTTTCGATAGGTTTCGAAAAAGAAATCAAATATGGCTACCTTGATGACGTCACTCAGGTGAACACCCTTACAAAATTAATCGCATTTGGGGACCGATCAATTTCTTCCGAATCCATAACAATGGTTAGTCATATCACAACACGTAAATTATGTCAAAAGAAGCTATGGCATGGTAATTTGAATGAATTTATTGATAATAATAGTATTAAATTATCCGATAGATTGATAGCGAATCTCTATAATTTGCTCCGGACTTTATTCCAATACCACCCTCACAAAATACTACAATTTCAATCAAACAAAATCTTTGCTCAGAGTCGTAGTTCTTAGAAAACGAATCATACAAACCCTGTCATCTCTATAATCTAAGGAGATATTTTTCACGGTGGTGAATCCATAAGGAACTTAGCAATATTCAAGAGATTTTCCTAAAAAAAGCAGGTTCGTCATTGCATGGGCATTCAACTAGAAAGAGCCAGAAAGCCCATTGTCATTGCAAGCTTTTTTAGACAGCTCTTACTATAAGTCATGATTTACCTCTGAAAAGGAAAAGTGAGTTTCCTTGAGCTTAGGATAATCCAAAAACAATATGGAAATTTGAGGTCAAATATCTGGCCCAAAAGCAACATTTTTTGATATGGTTAATGTACAAAAAGATTGGGGGACATTGCCTAAATGCTCTCCAAAAAGGAAAAAATAACAATATTATATGCTATCATAGCAGATTTCAATTAAGTCGTATGAATTGGAATAAAATACTGCACTTTTGGGGAAAATTGGCTCATAATTGGGGTAAATTGGTGATTACGGGTGGATTAGTGACAGCCTAAGAGATAATCCAATCGTCTTTACTTTCATTCTATTGGCCCTTATTGAAGATAACAAATTGGCGAAACAAATGCATTTGCTTTTGTGGTTAAATAATTATAAGAACTAAGTAAGAGCTGTTAAAAAAAAGCTTGCAATAACGTACCTGCCCCTTTGACGTCTGTACCCATGTCCCTGGGACTCATGTAATGGTCGTGCTTTATCAATTTAGGGCACCCTGACCCGCATTTTGGTACCTTATCAAAGTAGTGAGTCAATTTTTCCGATTTTTGTTTATAATTTGAAATCCGAAAGATTTGAGATACTTATCACTCAGTAGTGATCAAAATTGAAATACTTTAATTGAAGATTCAAGATTCTGGTCGGGTATGTCCCTTTTCAGAATTCTCCTTCAGAAGACCTTGAAAATCAGAACAATTTAAGCTTAGTGCGCCCTGGCCCACATTTGGGCACCTTATCAAAGTATTGCGCCTTTTTAGAAATATGTTCCAACTTCCAAATGTCTGTTTATACGGTGTTCTAAATATCTGTTTTTGGGTTTGGTTTTATATTCAAAAATGAAGTCATATTCTAAAAGTACAAGACTTTGTCAAATATCGGTATTTGTAGGTCTTCGTCCTTCGGTTATTATGAAAAGGCCATGAATTCGACAGACAATGGAAACAGTAAATCAGAACATTTTTTAATGCTTATTTAGTGTTTGTCAACTCGATCTATTGAATTTCCTTTTTTGCGTGTACCGTTAATAAGTAACCCGCTATTTTATCAAAAACTAACCTTTGGAACAGGGAGCTGTACACAGTGACCTAAATCAGTCGAGTTTGTACAGTAATGATGACACATGGCAATTCATAACATTCACTAAAAATATCAACTTTCAAATGGAACTAAACTGTAAAGTAAAAAAAAACTTAAAGTCTGCTTGGATGATAGTGATGTGATTGAAATTATTGATGTATTGTGGATATGTTATGGGTCTTTCGCTACTTGACAAAATGGGACGCTGACAAATATACGAAAGTTCATGCGACAGTAGTACGGGTGTCTACGAGTGGCAAAGGTTCGTCAAATATGAGATAAGGACGATCATAATGTCGATGACGTGATCATTCTGAATTAAAACGAAATTATGCTACATAAGTTAAAAAACGAATGTTTAGACTTATTTATCGAGCCATAGACAGTCCTCGTCATTAGCAGTCATGCTTGGGTTACCATCATCAACCTTTGCATTGAAATTAAAGATCAGTGTATTCATTATCATTATAATGGCCGCCGCATCATGCCTCACGTTCATGTGGTTCATACACGCAAACAACACCTCAAAAGCTAAGTACAGATACACCAGCGAATATGAAATTATGAACATTGATCCCACTGTAGCTGAGATGATCAGGAAGGCAAAATTATTTTCCAACGAGGCGGACTTTGATCATCGAATCGATAACAACCCTGATCCAAAAGCTCACATGTACGATTATTGGGAAGCCAAGAGAATTAAGTATAACATAACAGGGTATAACATTGCAATTGGATGTGCTATTACCACGAGAGGAAGTAACATTGATGAATATAACATCAATAGTATGCCCTTCTTCCAGTACCTATTTAAATCGTTTTGCAGAACTGCCAGTGGTGGTTTCAGCTACCATTTTTATATTGCACATGATCATGACGACCCCTTTTTCTCACAGAAACACTCTCATAGAAGATTCGAAAAAGAGTTTTATAGAATAACAGCTGAACAGAAACAGATTGAAGTAGAATGGACGGTACATTTACATTACGTTGATTGCGATCACTCACGCAAGCCAGCGTGGGCTCAGAATGATGCCATGACGGCTGCCTACTTCGACAATATGGACTACTTTTACAGAGTTAATGACGACTCTATGTTTCAATCTCCCGTATGGGTCGAGGCGATGATAGAAGAGCTACTCAAACGTAATCCAACAAACGTTGGCGTTGTTGGCCCATCTGTTATGGGGGGCAACCAATACATTTTCACGCACGACTTTGTCCATCGTACGCATATTGACATATTTGGGTTTTACTACCCCAGGCGGTTCACAGATTGGTGGGCCGACGATTGGATTTCAAACGTCTATCCTCATGAATACAGGAAACGAATGTATGATGTGAGAGTTCGACATTTCCTTGCAGATTCTAGGTACAAGGTTAGTTATGCCAATGAGCAGTACGTACAAGAGGAAACTCGTACAAACGCTGAATGGTTTGATGAGTGGCTCCACTACAAACATGCTTTAGCAGAGGTAGACCGTACACATACACTGTCTAATAAAGTCATCGCATTCAGCTTATATGGCTCTGAAAAGACGTTTACATATGGAGCCATCAGAAATGCAGTCCTTGCCCAAATGATGCTACCCGGATGGAAAGTCAGAATTTACACTGGAAGTTGCAGTTACAAATACACCGTGCCAAATAAAATATTGAACAAACTGAAACAACTCGGTGCAATAATACATAACGTGGATGATGATGTTTGCAATAATATAGCCCCGGGTATGTGGCGATACTTAGTTGCGGATGAAAATGAAACTGACTATTTTATTGTAAGAGACTCTAATGCAAGACTCAGTGCCCGTGAGGTCCATGTCGTTTCTGAATGGACGAGCAAAGGTTCATTATGTCACTGTATCAGAGATCACAAAACTCCCAGGATTGAACCAATTGTATCTGGTTTGTTCGGTGGCAGACCCGCGATGATTAGAGCCGTTTTGAAAGTAACAATGAAAAAGCTCTTACTATGGAACACGTCAAGGGAAATAATATTGAAAAAGCTTTGGAAAGTTTTGAAACCCCGATGCTTGTGTCATGACAGTGTTAGTTGTGATACATGGCCAAATTCAAAACCATTTGAACATGCCGTAAGAAAGGGAAAATACATAGGAAAACATTTTACTGAATTTGGTCAACCTATTGAGGGTGATTTTAGCAAGAAAATAGTGCAACGGAATCCAAACTTTAAATGCACTACAGAAACGAACAATGAGCTTGGACAAACGATCAACAAACTTAAAAGGATGACCATGTGGAGCATGGATTACAATATTGCTCATATATATGCCATTAAGTATCTTTTCGAAGCTTATGGCATTACTACAATAGACAAGAGTTTGTCACCTGGTTGTGCCATCACTCACACGTGTGCGACTGGAATGAAAGTGCGGACAGATTATTACAGTGGGCTTAATTTGAATCCTTATCTTATTCAGCAATTTTATAATGCTTACAGGAATGACCCCCAGATGAAAAATGTTGACTTCTTCCTTTGTGTTTCACCAATCTCTATGTGTAGATTATATGAAAAGTTCAGCAAACCGATGCTCCTTCTCGCAACAAACAGATACGAATTTGGAAGCGATGATTTCTACCGTTGGAAAGAATTGGACATGTACCTGGAGCTTTACTCTAGTCAGCCACAAAATGTAATAGCTGCTTCAAACCTATATGATCTCAATTATATAAAGTACTACACTGGTATTCAACCTGTGTTGGTACCCCTTACCTGTAACTATGTGAATGAGAGGTACAATCCATCCAAGGAAACAATAATTCTTGCACAAATACCAAACTCTGATTTTCGATCAAAATTGATGACAGACATATCTAATACCCAAAGTCAATTTATTAAATCCGATTTCAACTTCCGATATGTTGGTGATGAATACTCCGATTTTGAAGTCTCAGATTTAGCAAAGCACCCGGCTGTGATAATGGTACCAAAGCAAGTATCAACCATATTGTTTTGCGAGGTGTATCAAATAGGTATACCTGTGTTTATTCCTACGGTTGAACTACTCACTTCATGGCATGTGAACTATAATGTCGTATCTGGAAAATCACTAGGGGGATCGATCAACGCCCCTTTACCCTCGGGTGTAAATGCCAGTGCACCCGACCCTAACCGACTAGAGGAGTATGACGTGAAACATTGGTTGGGGTATGCAGATTTTTACCAATGGCCTCATGTGATAACGTTCAACTCTATGGAAGATTTGTTAAGGAAACTTAGTAATACTAATTTCACAGCAGTGAGTGAGCAAATGACAGATTATTCAAAACGCAAGCATAAGTTTGCATTGAAACAATGGTCTCAAATTTTTAAAACCATGTTTGCTGTTCGTTTTAATAATAAAAAATGACGTCAATGAAAGCTCCAAAATGTTCATGTGGATCATTTATCTTTAATATTCATTAATTTACGATTGTTATGAACATGGGCTTTCAATAGATTGAGTGCCCATGTTACGAACCTAGTCATCTCTCCTACCCTGGGATGTATTCCAATCCAGTATTTATCCTAGATTCTAATCTACAAACTATTCTCCATATTTGATAATCCAATACAATAGCCTCACATCCTTCGTTCTTTTAATTATTCAAACATATTTTCTGATTTTTTTACAGAGATTGTAGGGTATGACGAACATAGAGAACGTTTTACTTTTAAAATTAAATGTCATTCTCAACTAAGTATTTAGTCTAGCTACAAGCCTTGTAAGCCCTACCCCCCCCCCCATTTCTACCATACAGGTGTACTTGGTGTGTTTCCACAAATGGTCCTATGTGAGAAGGTGAATAGTCAAGTAGCCTAAGTGGGAGGGGGTCACGGGGGTTTGTAGCTAGACTACTGAGGATTGAAGATTAAACTCGAGTGATCTTTTCTTTTGGCAACTTCCCTAAATTATTTTTCTCTAGTCAAAGTAAAGTTGTCTTCCAAAAAATCATTATTCATGTGCCTAAAGTGCAAGACCGTGATTACGATTACGTGTCTTCTCAAAAATTAAAATTACCAATGTATTTATATAGATCTAGAAGATGGTTATGTTACCAACGTTACTACATTTACTCACGGCCTTTCAACTAATTGAAACCCACTGATGATTTACTAGGATGAAGAAAATGTACTTTCCTAGAAGAGGGTTGCGTACCAACGTTACCACATAGGATTTATCCATGTATTCATTTATCCACAAGTTGATAGGATGAGATATTCTGTAACACTCCACTGGGCGGATCTGGGTGGTACCCCTTGGGTGGGCCCAGAAAAGTGGTCCTTTTTGGTCATTACTGGGCCTTGTAAGACTTATTGTTTAATTTCAGGGAAATTTTGAAGAAAATGGGCCTCAAAGTTTTAATATATTTGGGCCCATTTTTGGGTTTTAGGGGCCCAAAACTTATTTTCTCTGACCAGAAATTTGCTCCCCCTGGTTCCCAGATCCGCCCCTGCAGTCCCTAACGATGTAACTTCCTTGACCTAGTTCAACACTGTACAGTTATAGAAAATGTGAAATCACACTTCCTTAAGAGACCTTAGGTTATCGAAAGTGTCAGTGCTAAAGTGACATCAATTATCAACATTTTTCAAATTGCCCGCGATATCTTCGACACTAAACGAACAGAATTTATTTGAGGGGATTTCCTTTTCAAGTAGAGGGATTTCCTTCTTGATTGGTCAATAAAAGTCACGTGGCCGAAGCTTCCGCCATCTTCAGATTTTGCTTTGCAGGTTCTCTACAACTCTTCACGTTTCTGGTGATTTGAGTGAAATGGAAGAGAGGCGGTCCGCTGGAAGGTAATCTATTCGGTCTATTCATTATAAGATATCATTTGACAACCATATTAATCATTTTGCGGTTCAGATTTCGTATCTATAAAGGATATTTTCAGATTATTTTCAAGAATTTTTTTTAAAAAATATTTAAAACTAGGCCAAGTACGGCTACTTGCTCTCATTATAATAGTGTAAGGAGCTGAAGAAAAAATCTTCATTTATAACTGGAAAATTTCTAAAACATGACCACCCTTAAAGCCCCAAACTCTTATTAGGCACCTGTGTGTGTGCCCTTCACATACTACAGTGGGGAACAAAAATAAACCTCAACCATCAAAAGTTGTCACAATTGAGCTAAATTCTAAGTTTCGTGTCTCAAACTCTCCCAAGCGGTAGAAAAATAATTCACGTTCACTTTAGTAGCACAATAAATGAATCCAAAGCTTCATACCTGCAAATGATGGACAAATCCCTACCAAATCGAACAAATGTTTTCATGAATCGCCATGTTTGTGATCCAAGGAGGATTGACTCCCAGAATCCAGCATCAGTTAACCTTATTTACTGAAAGGTTTCAAAATGGCAGAATGGCATTTTGAAAGCTGGCACGTGTCATGTTGCATTCTGGGAGCCCATGCTCATTGCGGCGTAATCAGACTCCTAAATCACCTCAACATTTGAAGAGTCGGCATTAACATGTGAATATCCATTTCAAATTTTTAAGTACTTATTTGTCATTATGGACACAAATTCCACTATATCTGGACTTACTAGGACAGAGAAAATAGAGCACTGAATACACTGAGGTAAGAATTTATTACATGTGCGACAGCATGTAATTGTCACAGCTATAGTAATTCTTTATGTTCCCCACTGTACTTGAAGTTGGCATCATCTACAGATACCAGATCGTAAGTCTTCTTGAAGTCTAGTTCAACGTTGTTAAACTCAATAACGGCTTTCTTTACTATTAGGAATTATCTTGGCCGTTATTGAGTTTAATCTCCTATTACTATTCTTTCCTTTAGTCACAAGTTTTGGGTCCATCAAAACCACTTTTCCTCGATAATATGTAACTGACACTTGACAACAATATAAAAAAAAACGCATAACATCAAGCAATTTAACATAAAGTTATTTCGTTAAATGTTCATCAATACTTGTAAAATGAGGCTACACTTACCAATTTCTAAAATGACATGTCCGTCATTGTGTCTGTTCACCCCCCGCTAAAATTAAACTATTGCGAAACAAAATTGTTGTCAGAAATAGATTGATAAGTATTATTGTGATCACTCAGGATAATAAGATCAATTTGGAGGATAACAGGTATCTTTGATTGATTTATAAAGCATGTGTATACATGCAAAATAGTAATTTTTGCAAACCTATTGTTTGTTAATGCAGTACTGCAATGACGGGTAATTTCTGATATGATTTGCAATTTCGATGTTACCAGAACTGACCGACATTTTCGTAAATTCCAAACCTGTCTCCAATATTTTCGTAATTATGCATCAATAAGGCCTTAGTGGGGATGGTGTGCTTTTATTCATAAGGTATGTATGCATGCTTGGATCACATTCTTAATGTAATATTACCATGTTTTTAGGGAACTATTAACTTTACACGCTTATGCCAAAATGACGTTGGAGTTTAGACCTAGCCAGGGCCACAAGACATGTGAGATGAGAAATGAGGCCCCAGGCTAGGTCTAATGTTGTTGGACTACTTGAAGTCTGGAAGCTCTTCAAAATTTTTATGCCCTCCTCCCAAGTTTTCAATTGTATAATTCATCTGAATTACTCTAATGTTTTTCCGTTATTTTTAATCTCAAAACGTCTATAGGACATCTAATTTGAAATAAAAGGTTAAGGCCAGGGTGCATGTTCGGAATTTTGCTGCATTCCTCAATTGAGTCACAGCTTATTTTTCAAACAGGAATCACTCCTTCGCCACATTGTCTACATCTTCCAGTTTTGCACAGAGTGCATGTACGTGCCTAGAAAAGACTGGTGAGAAGATTTGTTCTGTAAAATGTGTAAAAACGAGAAAATTCAGTGAAAAAGTTTTCTGGAAATATTTCTGAATTTTTTCACTGAATTTTCTTGTTTTTTATTATGCATTTTATCAAAATATTCTTTTCTACATTCTTTTCTAGGTACATACATTAGTGCACATGTTGTGCAAAAGTGAGAGATGTAGACATTGCGGGGAAGGAGTGATTCAAATTAGAAAAATGCAGCAAAATTCTGAACATGCAACCTGACCTTAACTTCATACCTCAAAAATCCAAAGATTTTCATGAAATTGTGCTTATTCGGTCCTTAAAATATTTTCTCGTAAAATCTTGAGTGGGATTTGTTTTCACTGGAAGAAAATCCCTGGGGATTTCCACTGTTTACCTTAGATCAGTGAATCGCTTATGTGTTGCTGTGGATCTGAACAGAATTTCAAGTTTCAGGAAGCATCAAAATCAACTAGCAGAAATGCATCAACTTACTAGAGGCTCGATATTTGTTGAAATAGACTCAAACAATCTTAATTTGGTCTCTTAATGAAGTTTGTGTTTTTCTTTTTAGAATTTCACTGGACAAACTGATCTGAATCATTGTGATTTCAAGTGAGTCTAGGAACAGGCTCTGAACTCAAAGCTAATTCCATGCCTCACCCACTGTTTAACCAAGTGAGAGCCTCTGTATCATTGATCAATTTGAATATTAATGTTTTGTAGGGCAAAACGCCAGGCAAAGAGTGTCGATGATGGATATTGGGATTGTAGTGTTTGTACATTCAAGAACTCCCCGGAGGCGTTTAAATGTGATATGTGTGATGTTCGCAAAGGAACTTCAACAAGGTTTGTCAAAAGTAATATTTTCTCCAAAGCGTGTGTAAACTCAATCATATTTTGTGAGACGTCTTCAAAATAGTGGTGTAAATTCAACATACTTTTTCTAAAACGTTTTAGCCAAGATGTCTTGGAATGTCGCGTGTAGTGTAAATAGGGCTAGTATTAGTCTCAGTTGTCTCTGGTAAACACTTTCTCAGAAAATACTCCTCATTCCTCTGAACTTCTAAAGAAATAATTTTCAAGAACTACTTCCAATGAACACCTTTGTGGCTCCAAAGGTATTCACTATACAATGTACAAAAAATTTACTATTTACTACATGTATTACATTTTAATACAGTAGAATAATATTGTCGTTTCAGAAAGCCAAAGTTAAATGCTACAGTTGTAGCCCAACAAGTATCTCAGCAATATGTCCCTCCACCTATACCTAAAAAAGAAAAGAAGAAAGAAAGACTTAATTCAGGAAAAAAGAGGTAAGTTAATTCTATGTCTTACCAGTATTACTTTTCTTTCAAATCTCTTTATTTTAGATCTGAACATCTCCATTTAGGAATCAAGCTCATAGCTCATAGCTAGATCGACTACAAAGTTTGGGGTCTCCTTAGCATTAAAGTACTATATCTAGGCTATACACCAGTTTACAATACACACTGTTTTCCACATACAACAGTTACCACAGCATTACAATGCATACTAGTTACCATGCACATCTTTATCCATGCATACCAGTTACCATGCAGATCGGTAACCATGCATACCAGTTACCACACACATCAGTAATCATGCATACCGGTTACCATGCAAATTTGAAACCATGCTTACCAGTTACCTTGTACATCTTTAACCATGCATACCAGTTACCATGCACATCTGTAACCATGCATACCAGTTACCATACACATTGGTTATCATACATACCAGTTACCATGCACATTAGTAACAATGCATACCAGTTACCATGCACATCAGTAACCATACATACCAGTTACCATGCACATCGGTAACCATACATACCAGTTATAGCAGTTACCATAAACATTGGTAACCATTCATAAATACCAGTTACCATGCAAATTGGTAACCATGCATACCAGTTACCATACCTGAGGTCTTCCAAGGATTTAATTGCTTGATGCTCTGCTCTGCTTGTTAATTTCACACATCCATACATGCCCAGCTGAATGAACCCATCCACATTGCTACACCCTTGCATCTGTGCTTACTTTATAAAAATTGAACTTGATTCTTTTCGAAATTTGCTTCAAAATATTTTACTCAAATGCTCACCATTTCAATAAGGTGGAATCTTAATTAGCTGAAATGGTTAGGCGCTTCTCTATAAACTCTCATTTCAGCCAAAATTTTGCAATATTACTTACAATTTTGATCTATTGTATCCCACAAAAGCATTCCTACTGAGGTTCTTTGTATATAATCTGCAGGAATATAAAGCGTAGGGAGCAAGTAGACTACCCATGCATTTGACTAAGCTTTGTCTACATTCTTTTAGTTTAAGAGAAACCTTTGCATTCATCGAGCCAATCGAAGAAGGAGGACTTTCTATATATGGTCATTTCCTCTTCAGTCATAATTTAACCTAGTATTGAATAATTTCCGACGGAACTTCTCTAGGATTCTTTAACATCATTTAAGCTTGTTTATTTCTTGTTTCTGTTTTCTTGAGAAAAAGTCAAAAAAGTTGAATTGATTTATGACGGCCACTGGCAGCAGGGGCCAGAACGCTGAACTTTAAAATTGTCTTAAAACTGATCAGAGGTTACTTTAGAATAAGCTTCTGTGCCCAGGTAGTGGGATGGATATTTCTGTATTCATTCTACTTCGCTGAGGTCTGAGACATACAGCTGTATCCATCCTGGCCCTGTTCCACAGAAATTTGTATTTTTATATCTATTTTAAAACATTTGATAATACTAATAAAGAGGATATTCTATGATATGTTATCCATGGATGGATATTATCTGTAGGAGTGAGTGTATCGAGAGTGTGCTAGTTATGGTCTTAACTTCTAATTAAATTGATTAGCTTTATTTTTCCTTCTTTGCAATAGTGTAGTAAGATTTTAAATCAAGTTATTTTAAACTAAAAAGTTATCTGAAGGATTAAAATATTTACAAGCTACATTCGCTTTGTATCTCTGCCATGTTAATTTTTGTGCCGATTGCTCTATGACTAGCAAGTGGGACAAAATGTGTATTGTACTATTCTACTAAAAATTGTTTAGAATAATGAAGAGCCTTCCCTTCCCTATGCTTTCCTCAATATCTTTAAAGCATAATGTCAGATCGACCTGTGCAAGACAAAAGGTCTCTCTGATTATTGTCATTGCTAATAAGAGGCACCTGTCTACTTTAGTCTCGTATAACCTCCTTAGTTTTAAAATATTATGTATTATGTATAATCGTGTAAAATGAAGCCCTCTGATTGGTCAGTTGTGTTGTGTGCATGTTGTGTAGTATTGCTACTGAGGTTGTCCCCATTGATCATCTCCAAGCAATATAGAAAACATTGGTATGGAAACTTGTACTTCAAATCATTCAATAACTTATACATTGTATTCTTAATCTTGTTTTGGTAAAATGTATGCCTATAAATCTAACAAATCTTATTGATAGCTGAAAGACATTTAGTTTTTAGTTTTTTTTCAAAATATGCTTGCATGCATTTTATAGATTAAGTAGTTTGTTAGCTAATCTGGCACCATCTATCACAATATCTATTTTAACACTGGGATTCCAATAATTTTTTAGTGTTATTTTTCTTGATTTTAAAATTTGTTTCCTGTAATGAAATGTTCACGAAAAAAAATTAAAAAGGGCTATTTTTGCACTTATAGTATACTCAAAAATTTGAAAAGTTTCTGGAGTTATGTTTCTTATGATAGATGGTGCTAAGCATGTTATATACAAATAAATACATGTAAGCTTATTTTGAAATAGTTAAAAGTTCTCTGTTATTTTGAATGAAACTTCTTTCCAGGTTGCCAAGGCTGAAAAACATTGATCGCAGTTCACCGCAACGTATGGCTGTAACAGTGGAAAACGTCACAGTAATAATAAAAGAATACAAACTCAAACCACGGCGCATTTCAGCCGAGGCGTCTAGCTCGAATACAAACGCTTCTAGCACATCGACTAGTTTTAACTTAGATATGAGTAGTAATACAAGTGCCACGAGTCCAACAAGTAGTACCAGTTATGCGAGAGACAGTGATAGTGACGCCACTGAGATTGATCCTCAGGAGGACTTGGAGAATCGATGAAATGCATACAGCTGGAGATATGGAACAGATATGTCATATGGGGGAGGGGGGTTGTTTTAAGTGTCAGTCATATCATCATATTTGTCTATTCTATTATAAATCATCATGCATAGGTTATTGCCATGCAGGGCTCTCACCAGGAAATATTTAAGGTGTGGTGCTAACATCTTCAGAATAACCGTTCAATCGTGATAAATCATATTTATGTTATGTTTTTATCCTTTTTACATGCTATTATTGTATATTCAGTCAAGTTTAGATTGTGGAAACAGTCATGATTTGCAAATAGGGTGTGGAGGGAGCTAAATAGAGTGTGGTGCTGCGCCACAGTCTAAAAGCCTGGTGAGAGCCCTGCCATGTGCGTACATAAGACTGGACAGTAAGGTGTTATTGGAGTAAAACACACCATGGTTATCAGTGATTTGGATTGATGTATCACCACTCATTTGAAGACAAATGTCAGATCATCAAAGTTAAAAGTTGCATTAATGCGATCTCAGAGATGGTGAATTGTGAACTCTCCTGGTATTTTAGCCCATTATCAAGAAAAATACACTTGAGAAATCCTTGTATTTTTCAACCTTTCACATTCTGTACCCACATTGGCCCCTACCATCAACCATCATGATCGTTATTTTTACATAGCAAACATTTTGTATATTGTGTAGATTTTAACCACATTGACTCATAAACTATCAAATTCAGACAGTTTAACCTCTCTGCAAACATGAGAAACAATGTGTTCTCAACAGTCCATTCTTCTATTTTGTGAATTGTTAATTGCCTTTGTCTGCCTAGAGTTGCACATTTCCATATACAAAGTCACATGTTAATGCGAACACACACCTCTTATGCGAACACCTATCTGATGGGATCACAGGTTGCGCCATTAATTCACCGTGTCAACAGACCTTCAATATGTGAACACCCTGCTATTTGATCACCTTGAAATAGAGACACTTGGAAAGCACCTCAAACAATTGGTGTTCGCATTAACATGTCTCTCTGTATTGGTAATATTACATGGGCCATTAATGGGTTAGTTTGATCCCTGTTTAGTGTTTATATAAATATTAAGATTAATATTATACAACAAAGCAGGTATTTTACACCCTGCATATTGAAAATGTCTGATATGTGAACGTGATTAGATTTTTTTAAGTAGCATTGGTATTATTCTTTGCTGTTGTTTTAAGATCAAAGTATATGTTAAATCAAAATGAACTAAGTTAAGAATTTTGAGACTGTATTATTGAAGGTGCAGTTTTATGAGTTTTCAATTTCATTTTCATAAAATTGATCATAAAAATGAGAATTGGGCATTTTTCTTATTCATATCAGTGTTTTCTCCAGTGTTTTTTTCAACATTTAATCAAGCGAGCATTGTACCCATTTGAGAATTTTAGAATCTCTGTACCCATTAATTGGGGTCAGCCTGTACCAAGTTGATAATTTAGACAATGTGAACAAAAATGTTTTTTTACTAACTGGGCATGTTGAATCAGTAATATACATTTGATAGTCAGGATTGGTAAAAATGAAATGGTTGCACTGAGATGGCTTTAAAATGCTGCAGAAAACATTGGTCTCTATTCTCATGATATTTAGATTGCCACTGATTACAACCAATTAAATATCATATTAATTATAAAACTGCCTCTTAAATAAACTGGAGTTAAAAATTTCAATACAGTACTTTATAATTGATAAATTGTCTATTCCAGATTTACAATATTTAAGGTCAATAACATATCCAATGTATTTTTCCCTACTTTTTATAGAAAATAGAAATGATGATTTACTTAAATTTTTCCATATAACAAACAATTCAACATACAAAGATTGTTAGAGTATACTGGTATACACATATATACACTCACTGTATATAAGACAACAATATATACATTTTAACTGTATATAAAGTATGCGTGGTAGTAGCTATAGAGAGGATACTTGTGTATAATACGATGATCTCAAATATATAAAGCTGTTAAGTTATTTACAGTGTACAATGTAAATAAATTGTAAAAGCAGCCATGGTGGTCAAATTCAATGTTCAGTTATCACTCGGCAATTTGTATACATTTGTGATACACTGCACAGCTTGATAAAGTATAAAGCTGTGATACTGTAGGCATGTGTGATACAGTGCACAGCTGTGATAAGTATATAGCTGTGATAATGTCGGCATGTGTGATATAGTACACAGCTGTGATACAGTATATAGCTGTGATGCTGTATGTATATGTGATACAGTATAAAGCTGTGACACTGTAGGCATGTATGGTACAGTTCACAGCTGTAATATAGTATATAGCTGTGATACTGTAGACACGTGTGATACAGTATAAAGCTGTGATACCGAAGGCATGTGTGATACAGTAACTCAGCTTTGATACAAGTAGACAGCTGTTGTGGTATAGAATGGAATTGCATTGATCCAATTGTTTGAGAATATTTTGTTTATTATAAAAATTTCTATCTTCCAAGTTTTGATTGTTGGTATTGTAAATTGAAACTTCTGACCATCATGGTTGACTTGTAGATATAATGGACTGCATTTAATGTGAATACACATTTTTGTAGAAAATACAATTTTATGATATCAAACTAAATTATATGATAATCATACATGAAGTTAACATTGTTGTTTCTTTTATGAATGCACATTCTTCATATGTTGCGTTGAATTTCGGGATGATCTCTAAACTTGTATCGTTCATTCGGTCCTTGTGATTATTCACCACACTCGCTGCCCAACTATCAATAAGGCAAGAAGAATATAGAGTAGTGCGAGATAATTCAGTGATTCGAAACTTCAGAGTTGTACCCTGATTTCATCAGTTAGTGACTTCCCTCTTACTAAGACTGATAATTTAACAGAGTATGGTGTTCAACCAACCAGAGAGCACTTTCAAGAACTATCTTTGAGGGGAGATAAGCTCTAAATTATCCAATTTCAAGAGAGAAACAAAATTGAGAACTTTTGCAGATGGTAATAATTATCCCAACGAACGAAGTTCGGTAGGGATATAGTGAAGCCCTCCGTCCGTCAGTCAGTCCGTCCGTCCGTCTGTCCGTCCGGAAGATAACTCGAATACTAGTAGACGGATTTTCTTCATATTTAGTGGAAAGATGTGTATTGGTGAATAGTTTTACTCAAGATGGCTGCCGCTTTAAAAATGACGGGACTTTTTCGCAAAAATCATAAATTTTTCATTCTAAACCAAAGTAATTAATATTATTGTTTGAAATTTGGTAGTATATTCACAACATTTATCTATTTCACATATATTCCGTGTTTTTCATCCTGACCCCCAGGGGCCGTGTATGGGGGTCAGGAAAACAAATTTTTCGCTAATTTTTAGATCTTTCTGAAGTATAGCTTTATTATACTCAAATGAAAGGCAATTAAGAGTAGATTGCAAATATTGTATCTTTTTTCTGATTCGAGCCTCGTAAAATTCAAAATGGCCGTCTAATGTACGATTTCGCAATAATTTTTGATCCCTTCAAAGTATGGCTATATTATACTCAAATTGAAGGATTTTTGGAGTAGATCACAATTATGGTATTATTTTTCAGATTTGTACCTCAGAAAATTCAAAATGGCTGCTTTGCAGGAATTCGCAATTCTAAAATCTAATTTTTTCAATTTTAACCAAAGTAATGAGTATAATTGATTGGAATTCGGTTATTGATATTTTGTTCGTTGGGATTTGCTGCTCCGCGGAGTTGCTGTTATCTAGTTATGTCATTTATGCTATGATCGCTTGGTGGTTGGTGTTTGGTGGTCAGTGTCTGTAACAAATGGTAGGTGGTGACATTTGCATGTTAATGCCGTGTTCTTTATATATGGTGCCGCCTTTGTCAACTTTATTTTATTTGATGTACGACAAGTGAAATGTTTAAACATCCATATTGAGCAATAACCAGACTATATGAATCCATTATGTACAAGATCATCTACCTGAAATGTTAATTTCTTTTTACATATCAAAAATAGATGGCACCTTAATCTGCAACATTAAAACACTTTTGGTCCCAACTTTTATAGATTCGTATGTTATTTTTCTAGGATTTAGAATGTATGATTGTATCAGTGTATTATTGACAGATTGCGAGTGGTAATACTGACATACTTTTTTTTTCTTTATAATTCCACTGAATGAAGTTTGTAGGGATATAGAAAAGCAATCTATCGATCCATTTGTTTGTGTAGTTTCCGGACAATAACTCAAGTACCTGTTGAGGGATTTGGCTCAAATTTTATAGGCCTAAGCTTTATGGGTGTAGAACCTCTGCTTGAGAAGGAATTAACAATATGGCTGCTGTATTCAAAATGGCCTCCATTTTTTTAAATATGTAATCTTTGATAAGTCAAATACTGGTTAGTAGTTCTAATTTTATTTGCTGATGTCTGAGGGGTAGAGGAGCTCTTATTTAAGAAGCAATTTTCAAGATGGCTGCTGAATTAAAAATGGCCACTATTGTTTCGTTAAAAACATTTTAATCTTTGATTATTCAAATACCAGTTAACGGATTTGGTTCAAATATATTTTGATCCCTCTTGGACAGAGGATACTGCTCAATAAGGACTTTTCAAGATTGCTGTTGAGTCCAAAATGGCTGCCATTTTATCATTCTCATGTCTTTTACACAAGTACTTTTACATGAAAATATATGATCTATCATTAAATTAAAAACATAAGGTATAACTTTAGATCGACATTCTTCTGGGGATTTCTAAAATATTGTTTAGTAAGATTCAGCACCTTAGTAGCGCGAAATTAAAAATGTTCAAAAATTCTATCCTCTACACTGCGCATAATATTGTACTCGACTGCACACCCTTGAATTGCCTGTTTCTTTGCTATATGCCAAAAATATCAAGAATATGATCATTAAAAACACAACTAATGACAATTTGCAAAATTTTTAAAATATAAGAATTGAACTAGATCTAAATTGATCTGATTTTCCATCATCACAGGCACATTCCTTAACATCACTGAAACTCAAATCACTCAAATTTCGTCCACGTGACATTCATTATTGCCAAAAAAGTTACATCATCATAATTGTATTTTACATTGTGCTGTCTAAATTATAGCAAGTTTATGCTTATATCTGTTGATGCAGAGATACTGTGTATAATACACTGTATGTACAGGGTGGGCCAAAAGAAATGCCACTTTTTTTTCAAAAAGCTATAATTTTTTTAATTATTGATACAAAATCATAAACCCCTGGCACTATATAACTGCAAAATTTTGGGTATGTAGGTTGGAAAATAAAAAAAGTTGTAGTGTCTTGAAAAAAAGTGGCGTTTTTTGTGGCCCACCCTGTATATACAGTATATGTGTAAGTCGCTACCGTTTATCCCATCGAACGAAGTTCAGAAGGATATAGAGAAGCTGGCTGCCATTTTTCATGAAAATGTTATCTTTGAAAACTCCCAAGTAGACTAAAGTGTGATTTATATTAATTAGTCTCATTTTCATGTCACCTCCAAAATTGGTGACACATGGTTTAAGTCCCAGTGGTTGGTGTTTTTAACTTATGGCAGGTGATGACATTTTGCATGTTAATGCCTTGTTGTGCTTCGATTTTAATGTTAAAGAACGGTTTTGTATTATTGTCCTTTGATAGTATCTGTCAGTGCTTGGCCATTGGAATTGAGTTAGATGCGAGACGTCGTGAAGCGCATTTGCCTAAAGAAAAAATCATTAAATACAGTACATAGAACTTCTTGAAATTAACAGAAAAAGAGAAAAATCACGCTTGAAGCACTTCAAAAAATAATAGGGTCCCTGAACTTTTTCTGTGCGATCATTCCATGCACGCATGCTTTTTCTTGGCGAATCATTGATCTCACCAGGGGTGTAATTAAGTTACATGTATGTGTAGTGAGAGGCTCCATATCTAAATGATTTTGCTGAGCTATGTACTTTAATAAGTCATCTGACATATTTAATCAGAGATTATAGTTTTAGGTGTTTTTTTTATCAAAGCTGGACTCAATATTTCACTGTTTTTATGACCATCTTTCACTGGGTAAGGTCATTTTGAATTTATAGCCAGTCTGAGTCAATAGTAACTGTCAAGTCAATGTTTGAACTGTATAAAGCTTTGAAGTTTTACACATGATGGCTGTTTCATGTTTTCTTTATATTCTGTTTTGTTTTTAAATGTTTAATGGTAGAGGTTGGTGGGGGGGGGGGGGGTGAGCAAATAAAAAATGGAATAAAATCAATTTGGTCAGTATTAGTGATAAGAGACCAACTTTTCGGATCACTACTCCTGGATCATTTGACTCAAAAAATAACTGGCCATGTTTTTTCAAAATATCCTAATTTTGAGAAAATTGTCCTCAAATTAGAAAAATGTTTTTGTGACCATCCCAAATCTTCAAAAAGGATGACACAGGCTGTTTGATATAACATTGTGGAACCTCTGTCAATTTTAAGGTCCTCTCCTTACAGCATCGTGATAAGCCACGCCCTCTCCATCTTTATCCTTGCGATGCAACAAAGAGAGATGCTATGAGTATCAAAATGTCCTTACAGTGAATCTACCCTTCAGCCTTTATTGACTGAATGTTTTGATTTGATGTATGGCCGGCCCATTGAATGATGTATTGTTTGCTTGGGCTCAAGGTTCAGGCACTATTAAGAATGACACACCTAAAATGAATAGTGGGACAAATATGCATTTCCCCTTTTCTTATAAGTTACATGCATTTTTAATACGAACTGCCAAACAAATATCCTTGTTTACAAAATTTTCTTTTGTTATGTTGAAATAATCATCCTAACCTGGAGCTTATTAGTGTATACCAGTTATTTTCTATGCAGATTTGTATTGGAAATACTATAAATGCACTGCAGTTATAGGTGTTTAACTGTTAATATTGAATACACTGCTTGAGCCAATGAAACCTTCCATCCACATCTATATGTATTTACTCCATGTGGTTAAAACATCACGTAGCATGAAGTAAATACTACAGATGATTCTAGATTTGTATTATTGCCAGATCTGGCCCAAAACTCGAGGTGGTTCCAATATAGTATTGACTAAAGGTCAATAAGAAGGAGAATATTCAGAATTGGAAATTCCTACAAGTAAAGTGCATCTACTGGATAATCCAAGCTTAGCTGGTGTAGAACATAACAGAATATCTGCAATGAGACTGCCAATATAAGAGGGGATAGAAGTCTGTGTACAGTACACACAGTACAAACTCGCAAGATAACAATCTCTGGATTGTACTTGCCTCATCTGTTTTATAGGATTTCAATCAAAGATATATAACATTTCAAGTATATTGTGAAGTGTCATACTGTACTAACCTATAGTACTGCTATATATTGAGATTGCATTATATATTGCAAGGAATGCACCAATGAAAAGCATGTATTTCTAGATAGGGGAAATTCAATTAATACAGCTTCAAGACATTGCAATAATAGAATTAGGGTACCTATTATTATGTAATTATTACATTAGATATTATTAAATAAGATTAGTATGAATTGAAGGACTTATCTGTCATTTGGAAAAATTAAAGACAAGGGAGGTGCAGTTATTGCAATGCTGAAACACCAATAAAACTATTTGGATCACATACTGAGTGATGCTGCATATACTGTACTGACTACTGCTGTTCAGAGTGAGGCATATAAATAGCTGCCAAAATTTGTACATCTTGATTGCTATCATAAGTGAAAATAACTACATGTTATCTGCCCTGAAGTAGCTGCACATGTGAGGTATTTGGAGCTGGATATGCATTTGTTAGCTGTGTGGAATTAGCTGCACATGTTAGCTACCTGGAATTAGTTGCATTGGTTTTTAGCTGCCTGGAAATAGCTAGACTGAACTGGCTGCAGAAAAATGTCCAGTAAACGATATCATGCGGTGGTATGTACATGTAATCTGTATTTTATACTTTTATTTTTGTATTTATGCAATTTACTTACCCCTTAATAATTAGATATTTAATAGGTCTCAGACTCAGATTGTGTTATTTGTTTCATTGTTTTAATCTATTCCAATCAGTATAGCTCAAAGGCTTCTTCCAGTAGAAAATTGGTATATGTATAAATAGGGTGTGTAGTTGACATAATACAAGTAATAAAATACCAATTTGGACTATGTTGGGCCGGGTAATAAAAGTCTGGATGTTTCAGAAAATATATTAGTCAATAGTCAGTGTTGGGAAAAAGTTTTAAAACCCTATTTATTGATCCTCTCCCAAATGAGCTTTTTTATGATGTAATCATACAATTCTTAAATTGCAGGATGATGGTGATCAAGAGATGCAACCATTTGATGATGATATTCTGAATTTGCTGAAGAAGAAACAATGTAAGAACTTCAAGCCTCTGCCAACTGATAGATACAGGTACCTATATTAATGTAAACCAGGTTAAGATATGCAATACAGTGAAACCTGTAAAGTGTAACACATCTAGAAGTGGAACACTTTTCAGAGTCCCAAGACCAACTGACTTAATGTTAAATGAACCTCTATAAGTGGAACACCTCCCAAGTGGAACACTTTTTAAGTACAAAAGGTGTTCCACTTATACAGGTTTTACTGTCTTTTTTTATGTCGAACTTTTCAAGAAAAGCTACTTGTATGCAAAATACTAGCATTCTATGATATTTTAGTATGTTATGCTTTACAGGTCATGAAAATAATTTGAAGTATGGTATTTAATCATAAAATTTTGAAGGAATAATTACTTTTTATTTACATTTTTCACATTATTCTATTATCTCGAATGTAGTTTTAGTTAAACTAGCAAGGGAAACGTATGAGTACAAAATGAATGTGTGGTTAATAAGTTAGAACATACAAGTATATACTATCTAGTATTTGATTCAAATTCAAAGCAAAAATTATTGAAAGAAGTAACATTGATTTACAAATGCGTAAACTTTAGTTCACATTTTACGTTACTCAGTTGTTGAGAAAATACTTACATGTTGACCTTTGTACATTTTGCATACATATACTTTGATGAAATAAAGGGCCCACTAATATGGCAATAGAAGTACAATGTGTAAAATAAAGGGTTCAATATTGCAATAGCTGAATAGAATTACAATGTGTAAAATAAAGGGTTCAATATGGCAATAGCTGAATAGAAGTACAATGTGTAAAATAAAGGGTTCAATATGGCAATAGAAGTACAATGTGTAAAATAAAGGGTTCAATATGGCAATAGAAGTACAATATGTAAAATAAAGGGTTCAATATGGCAATAGAAGTACAATGTGTTAAATAAAGGGTTCAATATGGCAATAGAAGTACAATGTGTAAAATAAAGGGTTCAATATGGCAATAGAAGTACAATGTGTAAAATAAAGGGTTCAATATGGCAATAGAAGTACAGTGTGTTAAATAAAGGGTTCAATATGGCAATAGCTGAATAGAAGTACAATGTGTAAAATAAAGGGTTCAATATTGCAATAGCTGAATAGAATTACAATGTGTAAAATAAAGGGTTCAATATGGCAATAGCTGAATAGAAGTACAATGTGTAAAATAAAGGGTTCAATATGGCAATAGCTGAATAGAATTACAATGTGTAAAATAAAGGGTTCAATATGGCAATAGCTGAATAGAAGTACAATGTGTAAAATAAAGGGTTCAATATGGCAATAGAAGTACAATGTGTTAAATAAAGGGTTCAATATGGCAATAGAAGTACAATGTGTTAAATAAAGGGTTCAATATGGCAATAGAAGTACAATGTGTTAAATAAAGGGTTCAATATGGCAATAGAAGTACAATGTGTTAAATAAAGGGTTCAATATGGCAATAGAAGTACAATGTGTTAAATAAAGGGTTCAATATGGCAATAGAAGTACAATGTGTTAAATAAAGGGTTCAATATGGCAATAGAAGTACAATGTGTAAAATAAAGGGTTCAATATGGCAATAGAAGTACAATGTGTAAAATAAAGGGTTCAATATGGCAATAGAAGTACAGTGTGTTAAATAAAGGGTTCAATATGGCAATAGAAGTACAATGTGTAAAATAAAGGGTTCAATATGGCAATAGAAGTACAATGTGTAAAATAAAGGGTTCAATATGGCAATAGAAGTACAGTGTGTTAAATAAAGGGTTCAATATGGCAATAGCTGAATAGAAGTACAATGTGTAAAATAAAGGGTTCAATATGGCAATAGAAGAACAGTATGTTAAATAAAGGGTTCAATATGGCAATAGAAGTACAATGTGTAAAATAAAGGGTTCAATATGGCAATAGAACTACAATGTGTAAAATAAAGGGTTCAATATGGCAATAGCTGAATAGAAGTACAATGTGTACAACAATGGTTTACTGTCACAGTCAAGTGGATTTTTCACTCGATATTACTTACATGTTACAATGAAGGTTTTTGAAACTGTAAATACTTTTATATAATCTTTGGGAAAATGTTCATTGTTCTGCACATGACCATTGTATCATACGTGTATAATTGAGTAATTACTAGTTTTTGAAATCTTGCTACATTTAGTTTCCAAAATATTAAAAACAGTAATATCCGAACACATCCCTATAATTCTAATACCTCCCATTTTTCCAGTTATTTCAGTTTTGTTGTTTTCTTCCATATTGACTCCCACATTAAAAAATTAGAATTGTTAAATACTGATGTTTTCTCTTTTAAAGGTGTGAATGTGGCCATGCCCGTAGCCAACATAAGGAAGGTGCCATTAAGGCGGAGGAACCAATCTTGATGGAGGAGAGCTCAAATGTTGGTTCAGCCCCAGGGGGAGGAATAGCAGGCTTGTGGAATACCCTAACAGGGGGAGGGGACTCAACAGATTCACGAGCATCTGCATGGTCCATGGAGTAAGTAATATTGATTACAGTAAGGTTTATTTTGTCACCTCCACAAGTAGTGACACATTTTTATTGTCTCCAAACTTTTTGTGGGTGATGGTCAGCATCCGGCCATCAGCATTCATAGTTTGGTGTCTGTAATAAATGGCAGGTGGTGACAAAACGCATGTTGATGCGTTATTTTGTTGATAGATCTGATAGCGAAATACTGAGGATTTACTTCAGTTGTTCTTCTTTATTTTGCTAGTATTTAACCATGCATCATCCAACTTGGAGTATAAGTTACAAAAACATATTTGATAAGGCATTTGACCCACAGCTTTGAAATGTTTACAGCACTGAAATATAATAAAATGTACTTCTGAAAAAGCTTAACGCCGATATGGTTTGTTAATCAAAGAAATTGAAAATCAATAAATAACATGTTCATTGAAGAAGACTTTTGATCAAAGTGTGACAACTTTCAAACAACAATTGACTACTCACAAGAAATAACAGTTTGAAACCTTGCCCATTCTAAATCATTCAAGTCATGATTAAAGTCAATGATTTCAGGCGTGATATTGAGGAAGAAGCAACAGATGCTTTTGGTTCTATAGAGTTTGTTGGAGTTGGGCAGCAGATGTCAGAGGTGAGATGACTTTCATTTCTAAAGACTATTATAAAAAAGTCCTCTGAAAATGCCAGGCGTCTATTGTAAACGGATAACCCATTTTTCAAAAGAAAAGAATGAAAAATAGACCTTTGTGAATCAACTTAACTGAATTTCTACCTGATGACATATTGTTTTCAGAAAATAGATTTGGATAGACCTAAAGTACATTATACATGTTAATATTAAATCCTCCTTACTGGGATCCATCCGTATATGCTGATTTTGTATAATTATAGTATGTCCGCCTGGCTGATGACACTAACCCCAAGGACATCCATCGAGTAATCACTGAACTCTGGGAACTTGATGACCCCCAGTTCATGGTCAGCATCATAGGTGGTGCTAAGAGCTTTGATATGAGCAAATGGCGTGGACGGTGGAAGCGAATTATCAATGATGGTATCGTAAAGGTGAGTGATTGTCACAGGATGTGTTAATCATATGTAACCTATTTCCTGATTGTGTCATTCTTATATTAGATTTAAATCAATCGATGAGCTAAGATGTTTACATGAGTTCAACCTGCATGAATACAAATCAGCTCCGTGCTTGCTGGTTACTACAGTAAATGCAGTGAAGAATTAACTCAGCTGTGACTGCCATGATTTTTTCTCCATTGAGTGACCTACTGTGTATAATAGTCTTGCCTCAAGACTTTATACCCCCCCCCCCTTTGTGTACTTAACACAATGTTTTGGGAAAGTAAAGTTCACATGTGTTGGAGTACACAGTCTTGGAGCAAGACTACTTCAATATAAATTGTGTAATACATTTTAGTCCATTCTTGTACAGATTAATGGCTAACAAAATGGTTGACTTTGTGTATTGGCTAACTTTGTGAATTTGACAATATCGAACTGAATTTATCAAACTTGTTTACATACTCTTCTTGCAAATCTAGTCTGCTAAATAAGACAAAAAATGATCACATTAAAAAGTGTGGGAAAGGGTCGGTGATGTCTGCTTTATGTTTCTATTTCTCTAGGTAGCAAGGCAGACTGGGGCCTGGGTCATTACAGGAGGAACTAACAGTGGGGTAATGAAAGCTGTGGGTGATGCAGTGAAGCATGGGCAGTCTCATGGCTGGGAGCATTTGAAGCGTAAAAATGAAGTACGATGTATCGGGATCACATCTTGGGGTTATGTGGACAAACAATCGATCCTGGTTAATTCGGAGCGCCAGGTAAGGTTTTAAACATTTTTCATGGTAAAAGTAAGAATCCAAAATGTCAATTATTTTAAAACACTTTTGAAATACTTTTTGTATGTGCACTTACACAAATTATGCAGAAACCCCTTAAAAATTCATGATTGTTCCGTCCAAAATTGTAAGGACCATATTCTGAATGAATTCCATGTACTACCACACAAAATCAGTGTTTGCCTATAATTAACACCATGCTAAGGGGAAATAATTATAGGAATCTAAAAAGGACCATTCATTGCATCACTTGTAGATTCAAGTTATTCTATTACTTTCAGGCCAACTTTGTTGCTGAATATAAAGCTGAAAACCTTATCAAACATGGGAAACCAGTGTCTCTGAATCCCAATCACACCCATTTTCTGCTGGTAGATGATGGGACACGAGGTTTCTATAGAGGCAAACAAGATGGAGAACACATGTTCAGGGCCAGATTCGAGACCTACATGAAAGACAGTATGTATAACTTGCATGCACTTTATCTTTGTCATTCAAGAGTTTCATTTTCCATGTTCTATATAAATGTATATTATATACCTGTATTGCATTTTTATGTCACCACCAGAAGAAGTGACATTATGATCTCCAACTGTTTTTGTTGATGGTGCTAGGAAATCAGCGTTTGGCAGGCGACATTTGTAACAAATTCTTACATGGACTTCAAATTTTTACTGTGAACATATATAAACACATTTCTGCCAATATTCTGCCAATGTACCATGGCAACATATTAGGTTAAAAAGTTCAACTTGCATCAAATTGACCAAATTTTATTTTAAAAATTGTGTATAAGTTCTCAGAAGTTCAAATCTGATTTAAGATTTGACATTTGGTTGGTCAAGAAAGTTTTTTCTCAAATTGATGTTTTTTATCCAAAAGGTCTTAATCACAAAATGCCTACTGAGGTCTGAAAAAGTAACATTTTCAAGGTCAAGGTCAATAGATACTTCAACTCTGATCACTACTGTGTGTTTTATGCATATCTCCATAGTAACATATTCTATACAAGTGAAAAATGCCCCAAGTGAACCTGTGTTGGAGGGTGCGGAACAAATGGGCTTTATATTTAATGCAGATCTCCATAGTAACATTGTCTATTACAGAAATGAATGTGCCATGTGTGCATGTATTGGTGGGTGCGGAACATATGGGCTTTATATTTAATGCAGATCTCCATAGTAACATTGTCTATTACAGAAATGAATGTGCCATGTGTGCATGTATTGGTGGGTGCGGAACATATGGGCTTTATATTTACTGCAGATCTCCATAGTAACATTGTCTATTACAGAAATGAATGCGCCATTTGTACATGTATTGGTGCGGAACATATGGGCTTTATATTTAATGCAGATCTCCATAGCAACATTGTCTATTACAGAAATGAATGTGCCATGTGTGCATGTATTGGTGGGTGCGGAACATATGGGCTTTATATTTAATGCAGATCTCCATAGTAACATTGTCTTTTACAGAAATGAATGCGCCATTTGTACATGTATTGGTGGGTGCGGAACAAATGGGCTTTATATTTAATGCAGATCTCCATAGTAACATTGTCTATTACAGAAATGAATGTGCCATTTGTACGTGTATTGGTGGGTGCGGAACAAATGGGCTTTATATTTAATGCAGATCTCCATAGTAACATTGTCTATTACAGAAATGAATGTGCCATTTGTACGTGTATTGGTGGGTGCGGAACATATGGGCTTTATATTTAATGCAGATCTCCATAGTAACATTGTCTATTACAGAAATGAATGTGCCATATGTGCATGTATTGGTGGGTGCGGAACAAATGGGCTTTATATTTAATGCAGATCTCCATAGTAACATTGTCTATTACAGAAATGAATGTGCCATTTGTACGTGTATTGGTGGGTGCGGAACATATGGGCTTTATATTTAATGCAGATCTCCATAGTAACATTGTCTATTACAGAAATGAACGTGCCATGTGTACGTGTATTGGTTGGTGCCGAACATATGGGCTTTGTTGATCAAATGTTGAAGACATTGAAGCGAGGGGTCCCTGTGGTGGTGTGCGTCAACACTGGTACTGCAGGTGATATTCTAGCAGAGGCTTGCAAGTGGTTTGCTGACCTGTATCAAGGGTAAGAATTTCAATTATTAAGTGATTGATTAGGGTCTATTGAATTATTTTACCTATTCCATAAACTTCTTATTCTTTATAATTCTGAATTTCATCCTCCCTTGCATACGAATCAAAAAGTTCTTATTTCCAATTAATTATTTGATTTACGCTAAATATTAGATGGCTTTCTGACCAATCATACCATTTTAAAATCAGCAATTCATGGGATGATGTCTTCCCATTAGACACTATCCGTGTTAAAATACCAATAACCAAAATCTTCATCAAAAAATCGATTCAAACTTTGATTGATATTTACATGTATTATTTAGGATTTAAGCCCTGTGCATTGTGAATTGAATCAATCCTCAGAAAGGTGTTATTTCAAACCTGGTCCAAGATGCTCAGCATCAAATGTGAAGTTTAGGAAATTACGTCTGAGTGAAATGGATCAGCCACAATGCATTAAGTCTTTTCACACATTGCAAAATATTTCAATCACCTACCAAAAGATATGAAATCAACTTTTTTGCAAGGGTCTAGTTGATAAAACTTCAATCTCAATCTGTAGAGTCAAGTTGTCACATTGACAACCATTCAAAGAATCACCTTAGGGGAGTTGCTAGTTAAACAATGCAGTGTAGTTATATCAAATACTTTGTTCGGGTTGACTGGAATCAGACGCACCTTGTCTGGCTCTGTGTGAAAGTTTAAACCACATCAGGTGAACTCCGAAGCCAAATGTTCCGATCCAAACCATTCCGATTTTTTTCTGTTCCATGACACCTCTATTAACCATTGATCTTCATTTGACTTGTAGGATTGAGGAAGGAGAAACATCAGAGGAAATGGAGTATGATATACGTAATTCTCTACGTGCCAGACTAAAAGGCACATACCCATATTTGGCTGATAATTACGCTGAACTTGAAAATGCCCTGAACAAGCTAGTACAGTGCTGTACAAGGGAGAATATACAGAGGGTATGTCTTATATCTGTTCAATTAATAAGACCTAAAAACAAATGGTTGTAGAATATAAAATCCATTTGTACTACAAACAAATCGCGAAACAAATTATTTTCATAGGTTCTTACTTCTGATATCATACGTTATACCCAGTGCATAACACTATGGAATACTTTTGATCTTGAAAAATAAGATGTAATATGCTAAGGAGCAGATCAATTGCTCCAGTTCTGTAATCAAAAGAATATTTAGAAAAATATTTTAAACCTAAAATAATACCACATATAAATTTGAAATGTTAAATGTTTTGATCAGTATTGACCCTATCCCAGATATTCATGGAAAGCCTTCTCTAAATGTAGTAAAATAAAAAAATAGAGCATATGATGTCTTTGCCATTTTCAATAAGTATAGATTATGGTAGGTATTTTACGCAAAAATCTTGTTATTTTTAGATCACACTTTTTGATCTGAACGAGAGGGATGACTTGGATGTGGCAATTCTTAATGCTCTCTTTAAATGTAAGTTCTGAGCTGTGAGTTCTAATAAATGAATACATATAATATAATAAGGCTCCCCTGATGGATGTGAGAAAGGCATATTAAAAAAAATGATTCAAAAATATTGAATATCATACACGAAGGGTCACCAATTATACTATTTATACTTCACACTTTTTCTCCACAGGATTTTTTCTCAAGTGAGTGCAAAATTCTCATCTTTACAATTCAGACCGAAATTGGTCAAATATGCCCATTTTTCATGATTTTTTCTCATTTTCAAGGGTAAGCCTGTTTTTAAAATCTCTGGTAGGTGCAAGCCTATTATCAAATTCTCAGGTGGGTGCTGTGCCCACTTGGTTTAATGCTGGAGTGATCACTGAATAATTTCTTCTTATTCTTCAGTAAATCCTGAGGTCCAGACACCACCAGTGAAAAAACTAGAATTTGCATATAAATGGAATCGTGTGGATCTTGCAAAGTTCCTCATAGACTATGAATACAGTAAGGCTCTGGATGAAATGGATTCAGTGGAGGAGAGAATCACAGATGCAACTCTATGCGATCTCTTTATTAATTCCCTTAAGGATAACAAGCTGGAGTTTGTAGAGATGTTGTTGACGCAGGGATTGTACTTGAAGGAATATGTGAACATTCTGCATCTCCTGTATCTGTACAACCAGGTTTGTTTGTTTGTTTACTTGTTTGTTTGTATATTTGTTTGTTTGTCTGATGAGGTCAATGATGGAACATGTGGCCTAGGACTGGAGCTGGCAATCCCATTTGGACAATGGGTGAGACTTGCCTATTGCAATAATGAAGTAACATTGATTTAATTATGTTCCATTGTCTCTTAGAGAACAAGCCTCTCAGCCAAGTAAAAGCTTTTCACTAATCTCTAATGAAAAAGATCAGGAATCACATCTGCAGTATACCGTAATATAATCATCCTATGTGCTACTGAGTATTCTAATGGGAACTCCTCGGGTATCATCAGATCAGATCTGACTGATTTAAATTCATTGTGGTATTTCTTTTGTTCACAGTGCCAAGGGTTGAATTAAGGCCAACCTCTATCATAAATTGGGTTGAGCCTGGTACGAATATAAATATATCAAATGTATTGCAACTCCAAAGATTAACAAGGTTTATAATAGACTATAATGAACTAAGGACTAAGGCTTTTGTAAACTTTATTCTTCCAAAACATTGATATTTTAGCCTATCCCATTTGTGGATTAGACTGTTCAGTAAGTTGGTTTCTCTTGCAGCCTGACAACGATGGAATACTTCACAGGGAGCTACAGTACATCTCAAAGAAATTACCTGTAGAGGATTGCATTGTCATGCCTACAAAGACTTCAGATGGGGCAGGTGGGGATGTAGGTGATGGAAAACAAGAGGAAATACTAGAAGAGGTTAAACACATGTTCTTGTTACAGCATATTAGCATGTTCTTTGTTAAACTCGTAGGTAAGAGCCATAGAAGTTTCTGATTCTAAACTATCATACCAGGTTATATCACTTCTTATGAAGCAACAGATTGAGCACCCTTTTCAATTATATACCTCTGAACTTAACTAAGCATATGAAACATGTCATCTTTATGAATATGAACATCTCCTGGTTATGTGATGCTCTCTGATTTGTTAAATGTCAAGCTTTGAAATGATTGGTTCTACCCAGAGTGTTGTATTGTACATGTAGGTTACTCTAGTTTGTATGTCACGACCACAAGTGGTGACATATTGTCATTGTCTCCAAACTTTTGTATTTACTGTTTGGCAGTTGAAGTCACCAGAAGTGGTTACATATTTATAGTCTCCAAATTTTTATGTTTGGTGTCAGTCAGTGGTTGATGTTTGGCATTTGGCATCAGTAACACATGGCAGGTTGTGACATTTTGCATGTTGATGTCTTGTATAACCTTCAGGTGAACATGACCAGGATGAGTACCAAGTGAAGCTCCGTCTACAGACTCTGAAGCTTGTATGTGATGTCCTCAAACAGGACATGTTCCACAGCAAGGTTGACAGCAAAGACAAACCCAGTGGAGAACCAACACAGACGTTTCTCTGGGCATTTAAGCCATTAAAGACCCCCGTTACTGAGCTATTCCTATGGGCCTGTATAACTGGCAGGTAGGTTGAATTCATTTTTATATCACCACCAAAAGATATTGTTATAGTCTCCAAATTTTTGTGGATGGTGTTTGGTGGTTGGCATAAGTTGTCTGTAACAAATGTCAGGTGGTGACAACTTGCATGTTAATGCCTTATCTTCAGGTGTTTAATTGTGATCTCTTTGTCAGGCAGCATACAGCAAATAGATGTAACACATTTTTGTTTAAATAATAACATTTAATTATTCTCAAAAGAAGACCACAAACATTGTATTGATACAGGGTGTCCGTAAAGTCCCTTTACACTTTACACAGACTTTGTGATGTCATATTGTTATAGTCTCCAACTTTTTGAGAATAGTGTTTGGCATTTGTTGTTCGGAGTTAGGTGTCTGTAAAAAACTACAAGGGATAAGACTTTTGCACTTTTCAGATCAGTGTAGGGCATTGTTATCCCATGATAATAGTGTATAGTGGCAAAATTTGAAAAAGAAAATATTGTGAAAGAATATCTGAATTGAATATGGAATAGATATGGTCTATAAAAGCCTACTTTATTCAACTAATGTTATTTGCATTATAGGATGAAGAGTGTAAAACCATTATAAATGTTTCTTTTTATTATTACTTTAGGCAAGATCTGGCCAAGGTGTTGTGGTATTACACTGAACATGGCATGACTTCTGCCTTGGCAGCCAGTCATATGCTGAAGTCCTTCGCTTGGTATTTTCCCCTTGACATTTCTGAGACCAAAGACCAATATTACGCAAATGCAGAGTAGGTTGAAAGCTAATTAATGTATTTTGTGAAAACAACCAAATTCACATTTTAAAAATATTTAATTTGGTGATTGGTTAAAGAATAAAGTTTTTACTCTATATTTCTTTTAAAAGATAGAATTGTGTTTGATGATTCTACAATTTTTTATTTCAACATTCTTATTTAATATGAAATCAATCCAGTGCAAATACAAACTGTATTTTTGCTCTCCAGGGAGTTTTCAGATATGGCGAATGGTTTACTAGATGAATGCTTCAGTATGGACAGATCTCTCTCAACGGATCTAATCGCCAGACCTGTACCTCGTTGGGGTGCTGAAGACTGCATGGACTTTGCTGGAAATGGACATATAAAGGTATGTATTTGCTAATTTAACCTCATTTGGAAGCACTTAAAATGTTGATTTTGGAAAACAACTATTTTTATAGTTAGGGAGTTGAGCGGGAGGGGGGGGGGTAAATGTCCCAAAGAGTTCATCTTCTTTCATACAGTAAAACCTGTCAAAGTGAAACACCTTTGGTTCCTCTTAAATGTGTTCCACTTTGAAGGTGTTCTACTTATTGAGGTTCATTTAGCATTAAGTCAGTTGGTCTTGGGATTCTGAAGTGTTCCACTGACAGAGGTGTTCCATTTCTAGAGGCGTTCCACTTCTAGAGGTGTTCCACTTTACAGGTTTCACTGTATATGGATATATTGATACTGATTCCATAAGAGATTTTAAAGAAACAACAGAGACTAGAGATAAGTAGGTATTTTTCCTCCCATACACTCCTCCATGTATTTTTTGCGATTTTAGCGGCATGAATAATGTTGATATTGACACAATATACATATTTTTGCTGTACCTGATGTGTAACTTTCTGTTGTATCTGATGGGTACTATATTTTTACAAGTTTTGAATTAGGTAGCAAAATGGGTTTGTCGACTTTACAAAATGAGAACCTTCGCCAACTGACTCAAATTATTGCTATGAACATTGGTTTACAACTTTGTGTTCATAAAGCATATCATACAAGTTTAGTCAAACGTGGAATCTTAATGTAAATCAATAAAGTCTAGAAACAGGACCTCTCAATTTGGTGTATCCAACTCCATCTGATTCTATAGTAATGTTTTAGTTTTTTTAAATGTTGAATGGTTTCATTGAGCACTTTATCTTGTCGTACTTTATAATCTGCAGACCCTAAGGAATCAATGTTGGTTAGTTAACTACTACATAGTACATAGTATATGTATTATAATAGTTATGTCTCAGATTTTTGGATATTCGAAGAACAAGATTTATCGTTATGAAAGCTAATTCAATATTCTCTGTAGCTTGTGCTGGAGTTTTTCAAATTTAGAAAATGCAAGAAAACTCTAGAAAATTAAGGATCCAACGACCTCTCAAAGTAAACCATTTAAAATTAAGCAATTAATCTTTTGAGAAAACAGGAAAGCCATATTTGTTTACCAATCTGATGTGCATGAAAGCTTAGAATTCATCAGTGTGTTTCACTTCAACATTCACCTGAGTTCAGGACTAAACTGTATCATAAAATAACGAGTAAAATGACAATTGAATGTGATATGACCTTGACTTATAAAAAAAATTCCCCAAATCATATGACTTTACATCAAAACACCCTATCACCATACATGAGGGTGCTTAAAGGTGCAAAAATTAGTGCAAAAATTCAACGATCATGGACCAGTGTCAAAATATATTTAAGTTTGGATATTTCATCAAGGCTAACATATATTTTTATTTTCTACAAAGAAACCCCCTGGATGAATATTATTTCAGCTGATATTCCTCTTGAAACGTGGTGGATCTTAAAAATCTATAAGTGGGACTCCCTTTATAGAAACTTTGAACTGAATTTACACTTCTTAATGCTGAAATTGATAGCTTATACATACATTTCAAGAAAATAGGTATGTCAAAGAAGGTGTTAAGCCAAATATTGACCTGATCAGAAAAAATAAAAAGTTTCAAGGTTTCTCTCTATAGTCCTTGTTGCCCCTTTAATAAAGATATATTTTCATATTCATGTAATGTGACAATTTCAATTGTATTATTTTTACATACAGATTTAGTTAGAGGCTTAAATACTTTCATTTAAAGATTCCTTTATTGTTCTAAATAAAGTTGCCTTTTTAAAGCACCTTTAGGGTGTTATTTAATAATAAGATTGTTGTTATTCTGAGAAAAATAATGTTTTGAATTTAAAGTGTAATTCACTAAATTAACCCATTCATTAGGTAGAATCACATAGAATATTTCCATGGAGTATACAGAAAATGTAATTTAAAAATCGCCATCTTCATTCAAAAATTAGTTAGGTGTAGTTTTATTTTGTTGCTGTGAATTTACTTTTGATACTTCCTCACCTGCCAATAGACTCATCACATACCCAATACATTGGGGAAATGTTCAATTGTCAAAAATTGACACTCAAAGCATGCACTGTCACACTTTGGCTAGAAGGCGGACATTTTGAAAATGGCTGTCATTTTTACATGTTATTTTACTTTTTTTAAAGGCTTAACTCAAAAAGTAATTGAGCGATTTTGTTCATATTTGATATGTGAATACTCATAAGCATGGGACACCGTCTTATGACACTTTGGCTAGTAGGCAGCCATTGTGAAAAATGGCTGCCATTGACATGTACGTGTGTGTGATTTTGTTGAAATGTTATATATATTATACTTTCTTATGACAGTTTGGCTAGTGAGCACCATTTTGAAAATGGTGGGCATTTTTATGTGTGTTATTTTACAATTTTTGCTATAACTGAAAAAGTAGTAGGGGGATTTTGTAAATATGACAGCCATGGCTGTTTGATGTGATTTGCTACGTTTTGGCGTTGCTGTTATCTAGTTAAAACATACTATATTCTTCTTTTCAACCTAGTTAGATAATCAATTTTGGTTTATTTTGAAATTTACCACGGTGCCAATGTCAATCTGCGCGCCTTCTTAAGCATGCAGTTTGTTTCGATCACAAACTGTGTGCCTAAAATCATTGCATCATTCAAGTTGGAGTCTGTATTTTGAAACGTAATTTAAAGACATTTATCCTGCATTGTTTTCTTGCTTAATGCGTTCATTCTGTGGCGAATATACAAATCTTGCAAATACTAGCAAAAACTATGTGCAAATGAATCTAAGTTTGAAAACATGAGCAGATTAATGGCATTTTCGTCACTGATTTAACAGGAATTTATACGTAAATCGATCTAAAACTTTAAACATCAATGACAAATACTTCAGACTCGTTTTATATTTAATTCCTTACGCATTTATTATGTATAATTCAAAATATTTCGACTTCGAGATAAAACAGATAATGAGGAGATTAAAAAGAAATAAAGCACAAACTGCACGCCTATTTTAGCCAGAAATTACAAACTGTGCGCATACTATCAAAACTACATATTATCATTGGAATTTCTACAGAGGCACGTGTAGGTGTTCTTCATATAGCTTTGGAAAGTTTGTTACATCGTCAGATTTTATGAGATTTTCATACTGAAAGTCAAACTGTATAATAGAAGTAACAATTATGTTGGGAACGAAAAAACTTTTATTTCCAGATCATCATCTTGGTGGATGGACTCTCATAGTATTTCAATTATGGGGTTCTACTATTGGCGCTTACGTTTTCTTATAATACAAAACAAGCTTGGATAGGCAAGCAGTTTGGAAATATTAGGAACACAGTTTGGGAAATACATTTTAATATAGGCGCGCAGTTTGACAATCACGTTTATGGCGCATTATCGTTTTGAACACAAATTATGCTGCTTTAATCAGATGGAGTGATCCTATATATTCTAGCATACACAGACACAATGGTTGAATAAACGGCAAATGATGATAAAAATACATAGATATAACTGTACACTGTAAATTTTGAACACAGAAGTTACTAAGACCCTTGAGATAACTAGGTTTTCATCGGGGACAACATTGAGTACTATGAGTAAAATAATCTATAAATAATAATAAATAATAAATCTTTAGAACAAGACTAACCTTGTATTTTTTGTATTTTGGCTCTTTTTGGGAGTCGTGTCCTCCCCGTCTTTGATTTGAAATATGCGCGCAGTTTGTCAGAGTTTCAAACTGCGTGCTTAGTAGGTGCGCAGATTGACATGGGCACCATGTTTACTATATTCAAAAAATACTGACATAGCAAAAATTTTCAACTTTTTTTCGAAAAGATTTTGCCACCTGATTGATGTCAAGATAATATGTTTTTCACTGTAAAGTGGAATATTTCACAAAAAGTACACAAAATGAGTTAAGGTCAGCACTGGGTACTGTACAATGAGAGATAAATAAAACTTAAAGGACCTGTCCAATTTTATATGCCATTATAAGCAAAAAAACAAGCTTAAGCTAAATACTCCACCAATTTCAAACTCCTTTTCAATGCTTTTAACTTCATTCAGTTCATATATCAAATTATTTCATAATTTTCATAAATACAAAAGAAATCACATTTTACTCTGGCCTGTTACATGCAGTGCACAGAAGCTAAACTAATTATACCCCACTCTGGTCTTTACCCAGTTATGCTTTACTAGCCAAGTAACCTGGTAACTGTCCAATATCTGTTTGCAGTATATATTATTTAGTATGTACTTTTTCAAATGGAAAAAGACATTGGCAAATGCATGGATTACTGGTTTAATAAAAGTAGGATAAGCAACATAACTGTGGAGCAATCAAAAATTCATAAATAGCCTTGTAAGCAGGTGAAATGGAATTTGGATGTAATTAAAATAATCAAAGCCACACAATCACAGCTATATAGAGGACTCAGATTAAAAGCCTATATTTCTTTGACATTTTAATACAAAGAAATGTTTATTAACATAGCATTAAATTAAGTCAATACACAGATCTATAGTAAGTCTGGTAAAAAGTAGTACACCTTCAATACGTTTATTGATTGATGGCAGACACTCGAATGTACACAAAGGGGCATTGTTAACAAAACACTAAATGTCAATAAATGCCAAGTAAAAAAAGTGCATACCGATACCATTCTTGATGATATACATGAACAGTTAGATTCACAAGATTAATTTAGCGACAGGAGTTTCATCACAATGAAAGTGAAAAATAAAACCATTGCGACATTAGGAATATTCCTATTATGTTTACTATACTTGTGGATCCAAATGAATACAAAGGATGCAGATTTTCACTCAGTTGAAAATGATAATCTATCGAAAATTAAAAGAAGCACATTGGATTTAAACGATACGGAAATATTATCATATGAAAGAGTACCACTTTTAACATTGTTTACTACATTTTCCGAACGTGAAGTAACAAGATTTGTAATACAAAATAACACTATATTAAATTGGTGCAACCTTCAAAGGGACTTTGGATATAGATTGGTCGTGTTTTATTCGATAAACCATACAATAGAAACGCTAAGAGAAACAGCATATCATGCGACACAGAATATACGACATACAACTGGAGACGATCAATTCGCATGTGTTATCAATACAATACTTCTAACAGAGGAACTAACTGCTAGAGGACGTCCTATATTTAAAAATATTTATTTAGAAATTCAACGCAGATTCCGAAGCAAGCTTTATGCATACTGCAATGGTGATATTATTTTTCATGGAGCAATGTTTGATGCTTCATTGCTTGCTGTGATGCACTTTACCACCGAAAATAATCTCCAGGAGTTCATGATATATGGGGGAAGACGTGAAATGCCATTTTTCAAACAGAATCAAGCTAAGACATTGAAAACTGGAAATGATACCGAAATTCTAAATCTCGGTCGACAATCTCGTGTAAAGCACATTATAGCTTTAGATTATTTCATCTGCTCTAAGGACAGTTTCAACTGGCAACAATTTCCAGATTTTTTAGTATCAGTTCAAGCTTTTGATACATTTTTAGCGATTTACTCCAATAAAATCGGAATAGCAACGTTTGATGTAACACTGACATCTATAGTGGTGCATCAAGCTGGAGCCCCAAAACTGAAAGATGATGGCTATAAAGATGCAAGAGAACTCAATCAATTTCTTTTCCTAAATTCAGTACCAGGTTGGAACGCTGACATGATGGGACTTAAATGTATGAAATACATTACATTTGTCAATAAGGGTATCACGAGCGTTAAAACAAACCCAAAATACACAAGTAAAACATGTGTATATCCAAAACCTATATTTGCCCCAGTGCTTGATAAAGAGGAATTACTGAACAAGAATCTCAGACCATACTTCAGAAAGGATCTTGACTACTATGGCGGTCCAGCATGATCTGATGGACTCAGAATTTGAAAGATAGTCCCTTTTTACATATTGCCCATACTTTTAAGGTTGTTTGACACTGTCACAACTAAAGTTGGAAAGAAGAAATTGGAGTAATGCCTTTTCTACATTTAATTAATAATTTTGATTTTGAACTAAGTTTGCTAGGATAATGTCATAAATTCTCACGATGCGGATCTACCTTAATCAGTGTTTTCCTCTTTTAAAACTTATGGATTATAAAGATATAATACTGGGCCTGATTGACTGTAAACTACAAACTGTAAAAGGAAATAAAACTGTAATATACACATGTGACAATAGTTTTTAAGAGACCTATTTGGCTAATTAATTATGATTGGCTAATTAATTATTCATTATTAATCATGATGGTTTGCACACATGTTTTTCCTTGTAATGTCACCTCCAAGAAGTATTGTTGTTAGTATGCCTATAGCTACTTTATTGTGACTGCTGTTTGACATCAGTATTGGTATTGATAAGGTTTGTTATACTTTTCTAGGTGGTGACATTTTACGTGTTAGTTGTTAATGCTTTGTTATATATTTCTAAGGTAATTGTTGTTAGATGTTTATAAGGTTTTTAAAACATTTGATGGAGAAGTTAAGTATTTTTTAATGTACTGTAAATATGAATATTAAGTGGTAAAGATATAAGAATAAGATAATGTGAATATTTGTTTACTTCAATGAATACAGGGTGACCCCCCCTCAAAAAAATGCCACCCACTATTTTTGGAATAACTTTGTCAATAATGAAGGAATCTCATGATTTTTATGTGTAGATAGAGTATATGGAAGAAAAATTGGTATGCTTGCATGGCATCAACAGCTTGGAAATTAACTCTTTTGACCAGGAAGTAGACTAATTCATCCTATCGGTAACTGCCGGATGTCGACTATAGTCGACTTTTATACACGTACTATGCTGATAAGTTTTCTGTTGTATTTATAGATGTCAGGATATGTCTAACCTTATGGATTATGTTTGTACTGGACGAAACATAAACTTAACAGGAAGTTAATGATATTTCGTGACTTTTTCATATGATATTCTCTAATATTATTTGAAATAAAGCAAAAGGTATTTAAAATGGCTGCTGTTAGATCTCGAACTCTCATATGTATTAGGGCTACTGAGGAAAATTTTGATCAAATATTCAATGATTTGGACAGTGAAAACGATACTTGATGAAACGAGGTGAACATGATGATTTAATTTGGATTTTGGGATGTTATAATTTTATTTTTATTATTACATAGAATATTATTTAATTTTATTCTATTTTTCTCATTGATACCATGATCAATGATGTAATTGCTAGTCTATACGCTAGAATTTGTATGTTTTGATGGTTTAAGATGGTAGAACAATATATCGACAGCTTGTACTAAAAATTTCATCAACATCTGATTGCAAGTTAAAAAGTTATGACTGCTTGAATATAATTGGTCAAAAGTAGACAATTTTCAGGAAATTAATTACCGATCCTAGCAATGTAGCAAATTTGCTAATTACCGGTCAAAAGAGTTAAGAGATATATCATTTTGGGTCACCCTGTACAAGCTGTCATCTAGCATTAAACTGCATGTATTTGTTGTACATGTACTTTGATGGAGTGATTATTCTCTCTTCATGAATCAATTGATCACTGGTAGTAGTCGATGCTATACCTATTGTATATCCCTCATAATGCAAGCCCTCCATTTAACCATGAAAATCATTGCAGAAATTGATGGATATTTTCTACGATAATAAAATGGTGGAATAAATACCAACCAGAAAAATGTTGAGCAATAGTGTTTTTAGTATAATATATAATAGGATTTATTTGTACTGATGCCCTCGGGCAAATGTACATCCAATAATGAAATTTTACAATTACATTAAAAAATGGTGATAAAGAAAAATAAAACGACATTCAACAAAACAACATATAAAAGTGAAAATCCCACATTAGCCAGGGGACTAACATTTTGAAAAATCTTTGGCGAAAAAGAACCTGCCTGAAATGTTGAATAACAGGATACTGAAATCCCCGGGATATAATGAGGAAGGGGCTGCAATCTTAAGTAGTGAATTCTGCTTAAAATAAAGCACAAAATATTGAATTCATGATTAAATGTAAAAATGTATTTCTGTTGTATTGTATCTTTATTACAAATTTATATTAATATAATTATAATAAAATTATTAGACGTATGACCATGTTGCTAAATCTAGATTATGTTCATTATGTAATGATGCAGATGAAAATGTAGTTCACTTTCTTTTCTCTTGTGAAAGCCTAGCACAGGAAAGGGCCCCTTTTTAGAGTATATTAGAGTTATGAATTATCACGGTCAAGGTTTTAATGTAATCATTGTAAATATCCTGAAACAAGGAGATATTACTGCTGCTCAGCATATATACAACTTGTATAATAAAAGATGTAGCTTGCTGTAGATAGTGGTACTTCACTTTCTATATATATCTCTATATATATATTTCTATATATTTATGTAATATTGTACTCATCATTTATGGTGGAATAAAAGATACATAAACATAAACATTGTGAAGCTGTTAATAATTACATATAACAGGAAGGAATGGTGTATAAGATAAAATAAAAAATTAGATAAGATCGACAGCTGAATTTCAAAATGGCAACCATGTTTCATAAAAACATAATCTTTGATAACTCAAATACCAGTGGATGGATTTGGCTCAAATTGTATATGGCTGCTACTTATCAAAACGTGTTTTGTTCGGTGGGATTTGCTACTCCGTGGAGTTGATATTCTAGTTATTTTATCAAATGTGCATACACTAGTATTCAGGATATGGTGCGAATGGGACATTTCGAATGTTACTTGGTATGAAATGATTTTTTACTACAAACTTACTTACAAAAAGTCTCATCCCAAACAAAGAGTCACACCATACTGCTGGGATCAGGCCCATAGTAGTCAGGGGGGTTTGATGGGTTCGAGTTAACTTCCACCCCCCCCCCCCCCCCCCCGGGTCTTAAGTGAACCCCCCTGGAATTTTTTAAAAAGTGAATCCCCTTGGCCTGGAGATTGTATGAAAATTATGTTTTATGTTGAATGTATTAATCAGAGCAGATTGAAAAATACATTTTGCTTGTACTTGTTAAAAATAGCATCAATGGATAATTCTATAAACTGTATTAGTGTCAACCTAAAAGGAAAGTTAGATAGCTTGACTGTGATTTAAGGTGGATGTAGAGTTCATACAAAAATTAAAATAGACTGAAATTTTAATAGCTTTCCCAACATACTATTTTTTTGTTTCATAGATGTTTATTATGCAATATTATTATCATAAATACTGTAAAGAACAATAAAGACTAGAGACTAAAAAATAGTCAATGAAGATTTTGAAACATTTTTTCAAGGAATAATACGTGAAAAATTGCTTAATTAAAAAGTTTGAAGATTACAAAAAATATTCTTCAATCACATATTAAACTGAACAAACACATATTTTTAAGAATTGCCTAAAACAAAAATGGCGGCTAAGGAGGAGAGCTATTGCCATAGGGGGATGGTCAGTTTTAGAATTTCGCCCCAAAATCTCTTGAAAAGTGGTTAAAGTGGTGAAATGCTGCTTGATTTTGAGAGTTTCTTTGGGCCCGTAATTATTCTACATTGTGACCATGACAGTCACATGACTTGCATACCTATGGTAACAATCTCTACCGTTTTAACATGTTCTTTGCTTTATTATCCCTTTGAATGAAGTTCAGGGGGTTATAGAGAATGGCTCTGTCTTTACGTACATCCATTCGTCCAGGCAACACATCAAAAACTGTTGACCCGATATCATTTATATTTTATAAACCCCACTTGAATACAAGTTATGTTCCAATTTTACAGTATTTCAAGTACAACATCAGATATCAAAGTGTAATATTAATATGTTTTAGATGCAACACTTTTGGTAGAAGGTGGCCATTTTGAAAAATGGCCACCATTTTAACATATTTTACTATAACTCGAAAAGTGGTGGAGCTATTTTGTTCATATTTGTACATGAATACTATTAGCATGGTACACTGTCTAATGACACTTTTAGTAGAAGGCGGCCATTTTGAAAAATGGCCACCATTTAAACGTATTTTACTCGGCTTTTACTCATTACTCATTTTTTGCTGTAACGTGAAAAGTAGTGGAGCGATTTTGTTCATATTTGGTATGTGAATACTATAAGCATGGCACACTGTCTAATGACACTTTTGAAAAATGGCCACCATTTTAAAGTATTTTACTCGAAAAGTAGTGGAGCGATTTTGTATGTGAATACTATAAAAAAAAGCATGTTACTTCTTCTGATGACAACTTGGCTAGTGAGCAACCATTTTGAAAATGATGGCCTTTCTTATGTGTGTTATTTTATGATATTTGCTATATATTTCGTTTGTAAAAATGCCAGCCATTTCTGTTCGATGGGATTCGCTACGCTTTGGTGTTGCCGTTGTTCTGGTTTTGTATGCCCCCGGTGCTAGTGAACTGCGTAATATTTTAATGAGTTTTCCCCTCAGGTATCACTAAAAAGGACGATAAGCCCTGCAGTGCTCATTATATACATGGTGATGTGTTTTCAACAAAAATAACCCATCCAAGTGCACTTACACTCACATAATTCTTTCTGGGTGCTTTCAAAGTGTATGAGTCATAAAAGGATAAAAGGGTGAGGTGGGTTGGGGATGCCAGAGGGGGAGCAAGGGGTTTTCCCTTAGAAACATTGACCATTTCAAGGTGCTATTTGATGATGTCTGGGCACTTTAAAAGTGATTCTGAGATAATATATGAAATTCATATTTTTTCAATTGTTTTGTGGGGGATGTGATGGGTGACCAACTCTCCTAGAAAATTTTACAATTTTAAGATGATATTTGGTGCTTTCTGAGGTAGGGTTGGGGCGCCAGAGGGGGGAGCAAGTGTTTATCCCCCATATCTGTCCCCGGAAGCATTGACCATATAAAGGTGCTATTTGATGAAGTCTGGGCACCTAAAATGTGTCTGAGACAATACATGAAATAAATACAGAATTTTTGTCAATTGTTTTGTGGGGATTGTGAGGGGTGGCCTACTTCCTTAGAAAATTTTACAATTTTAAGATGCTATTTGTTGCTTTCTGGGTCCTTTTAAAGTGTATGAGTCACTAAAAAAGATTAAATCATATTTTTTCTATTTCTTTTTTTTTTTGGGGGGGGGGTGCCCGAGGGGGAGGTGGGGTGAGGATGACAGAGGGGGAGCATGTGTTAGTCCCCCGGAAAAATTGACTATATCAAGGAGCTTTTCGATGATGTCTTGGCACTTTAAAAGTGTCTGAGACAATACATAAAATAAATTCAGAACTTTTCAATTGTTTTGTGGGGGTGTGAGGGTGGCCCACTCCCCATAGAAAATTTTACAATTTTAAGACGTTATTTGGCGCTTTCTGGACACTTTCAAAGTGTATGAGTCAATAAAAAAAAAGATAAGAAAAAATCATAATTTTTTTACTTTTTTATTTTTTTGGGGGGTGTCCAAGGGGGGGGGGGGGGGTGCCTGAGGGGGAGGTGAGGTGAGGATGCCAGAGGGGGAGCAAGTGTTAGTCCCCCAAAAACATTGACTATATCAAGGAGCTATTTGATGATGTCTTGGCACTTTAAAAGTGTCTTGAGACAATACATAAAATAAATTCAGAACTTTTCAATTGTTTTGTGGGGGTGTGAGGGCCCACTTCCCCTAGAAAATTTTACGATTTCAGGATGCTATTTGGTGCTTTCTGGGCACTTTCAAAGTGTATGAGTCAATGGAAAAAAAGTAGAAAAAAAAATTTCAAAAAAATTATTTTGGGGGGTGTCAAAGGCCATCTGACGGCCATGAATTCCTATGGTACACTAGCAACTAGCCGGTGCAGTTGACACATGCGGTTAGCCGACAAGATTGCCACATTTTAATTAGCGGTGCAAGTGCACTTGGGGGAATAAATGTGTTGACATGTATCGGTAATATCTTTGATAGAGTAATACAAAACAGACTTGTTTTTAATGCTGAAATGTTAGATATTCAAGATCCACTCCAAGGTGCATATAAACCTGGACATCAAACAACAGATAATTTATATATTTTAAGTACAATCTTAGCCCGTTATAAGCTCATGAAAAAGCCTCTATACTGTATCATGATAGATTTTAGAAAAGCATTTGACTATGTAAATAGAGTGGCACTTATGTATTAACTTTGTAAATCAGGAATTTCACCTAATTCTAATATATTCAAGGTTATATCTAGAATGTATGAAAAATCAAAAGCATGTCTAAAATTTAAAGAAGGTATCACCCCTACTTTTGAAACAGATGTTGGAGTAATGCATGGCTCTATACTTAGTACCTATTTATTCAACCATTTCCATGATGACTTAAAAGATAATTTACCAAAAGAAAATAGTATTCAATTTAATGGAAATATGTTAAACCATTTACTTTGGGCTGATGATCTTATCTTGATGTCAAATAGTAAAGATGGTGCCCAAATTTTGCTCAATTGCCTTTTTGATTTTTGTAAGAGATATCATCTCATAGTTAAAACAATGAAGACAAAATCAATTATTTTTAACTCAAAAGTTGATGCGGTTTTCAGATTCAATGATAGTGCTATAGAAAATGTTGAGCAGTACAAATATCTTGGATGTGTATTCAGTAAAACAAAGAATTTTGACCAGCATGTATTTTACTTGAAAAAGCAAGCAAGGAAAGCTTTGTTTAAAGTTAAACAGCAATATAAAAAATTTAATGACATTCCAGTTAATGTTGCATTGCACCTTTTCGATTCCTTAGTTGAACCTATTTTAACTTATGCCTCGGAGGTGTGGATCAATAAAAAACATCTGAAGACAATAGAGACAATGCACCTATCTTTTCTTAAATGTCTGTTAGGTGTTAAAAATCAACTGCAACACCAGCAATTTATGGAGAATTGGGACGCTACCCGTTAAAAATACGTTTTGAAATCAAATTAATTAAATATTGGCTCCGTTTACTTCATCTATCACCAGGAAACATTCTTCATAAAACATATATATGACCGTGGAATGAGTCAATTTGGTTTTAAAGGCACTTGGTCAAACAAAGTCATTGATATTTTAAAAAAGTGTGATTTATTATCTTATTGGGATACTCAAAAGATTGATGATGACAATATTTTTATCAAGACAATAACAAAAACACTGTATCAGAATTATAAAACTCAATGGAACAAAGATATATTAAATTACCCTGTCTTGAGAACTTATGTTAAATTCAAAAATGTCTTTGAAAGAGAGAGTTATTTAAATATTCAAAATAAAAATTACAGGCAAGCAATTTGTAGATTTAGGCTTAGTTCCCACAAGTTACATATAGAACTTGGTCGTCATTTAAAGCCAAAGCCAAAACCTGTAGATGAACGTTTATGTAATATTTGTGGTATTTTAGAAGATGAACAACACTTTATCATGATTTGTAAGAAAAACACTACAGAAAGAAAATTTTTGTTTGACACCCTTACACAATTTAATTTTGTAGGCAGTCCTGACATTATTTTTAAAAAATTAATGTTTCACAAAAATTCTTATGTAATTTTACATTTAGCAAAGTTCATCTATCATTCACTCAAAAAATTGGATTAATGTGTCAACGATGCATCACACTGATATTTAAATTTCTGTCAAGTTATATTTGTATTTTACAATTATCTTGTATTCTGTATTTTACATTTGATGATGTAATTAGAATTGTATTTGACAACAACTTTATTTTTGTATTCAATAGTTAGTTTAGTCTTAGGTCAGTTTTGTAGATTGTAGTTTTTAGTGACTAATATGTCATTGTAATGACATCAGAGAGTCAATAAAAGATATAAATGTATATTAACTGTTTGATGAAAACGTATGTGTGACCATGTAATTTGCACATCAGAGGCTTATTGTTCTTGGGAAAACTTAAATTAAATATTTTTAATCAATTAATTATATTTTAATTGAATTAAATATTGAGCAATTCAGTAGCACTTGGGGCAGTTCAAAAATGCCGCCTTAGATTTCAAAGGAGTTTGAATGTGAAATTAATTTTAGCTACTATTTATTTATAGAAACTGAGATTGCTTTCTGACTGTAAATTCTGATTCAGTTGTAATTGCAATAAATTGGGTGTATCTTTAAGAGTAGTGGTGCACTTAAGCATTTGCAAAGGGTTATTTAAAATTTGATTATATGTTTTGTTTTAGAATTTCCTAGCTCACTCATGCTGCCAGAATTCCCTTACAAATACATGGAAACAAGACTTGCAATCACCAGCATGGAGGGTAAGTTTAATCTCAGTCAAAGCTGTATGGCGCATGTAGGGCAGCCGTACCTTCAAAAAATCAATGTAGAAAATTGACATTGTAGTGCTTACCCCTATATTTAATGCTTCATATTTTTGTCAATTTTAGGGAGCTATGGCCACCGTATGGTTGTCATAGATCAAATGTGACTGAGGCATTTAACTTAAACGTAAAGAGAAATAGGGAAGGAATAAGCAAAGAATAAACAAATGATTTAGTTTGAGACTTTTAATTGTAAAGACAAATCTACATTTTTAAGAGATACATGAGAGTAAACTAAAAATATCCAGGGTAATATTCAAATTATTAGACACTAGTGATTCTATTCCAATATTACTTGTATTAGTTGCTTTTGTATATCTTCATTTCACTTTGCAAACAATTTTGGTGTTCGGCGTTCATTTGTCAGCATCTGTAACAAATGGCAGGTGTTCATACGTTTTGCCTGTTAATGCCTTGTTTCTTAATTGTCAAGAACACAAAACTGCTTTCCACGTTAAGAGGGTTCATAGGAACAGGAGATAAAGGAAGAGCAGGAAGAAAACGTGAAGTTCATCAACATATTTTTATATTATGATATATTTGCAGATGCTCCTGGCGATAATGTTTCCATTTTTGATACTAACTCGAACCATCCGCTTCCTGAAGCCGTACAAATCATTACTTCACAAAGTCATCAGGTTTTATTCATTACCTGTCATCAAGTTTGCACTGTTTATGGTATGTATAATCTTTCATTCTACCATTAAAGGTGAAACAAGGTCTGAAGAGAGAATTTTTGCAAAATTTTACCTTTTCTGAGCTATCGGCATGAGGTTTAGTTAAACATCTTCTTCCTAGCTATTTTCTTGAAGTGTATTAATAAAGCTACATTTAACAACAATAAAACTTAAAAATACATCAGAAATAATGAACTGGAAAAGCGGATTTCCTCTTTTTCATTTTTCTAATTATCGAGGTGAGAACACCTGTCATCAAGTTTGCATCATTTATGGTATGTATAACGTTTCATCCTACATGTAAACCATTTTATAGATTGTCCTAGTGAGTTTGTACATTATAATCAAACATACATAACAGTTGTAAAATTCTTGTTTTATTTTATTACCTTTAAAGGAGTTAGAGACAGAATAATGTGTAAACAATGATTGTGATATGGATGTTGAATAAAGAAGTAATGCAGCATGGTGCGGGTGTCATATTTTGTGTGTCACCCTGTACCTAGCTGTAGATCACATGTGGTTTACTTATTATTTTTTCATTTTTACCAGTGTAAACACTGGCTGCAAAAACAGAGGCATGAAGTTTTTTGAGTAGGAATTAGCACCTAAAAAATGAACATACAATAACTTTATGGTAGTGTCTAGGGATTTGAATAGCTAAAATCTATTTGAAAACCAACATGAAATGTTAGCTATAACTCTAAATTTGTTTTATCCGGGCACACAAAATGTGAAGGATTGATTAAAGCACATTAGTACATGATTTTGAAATTATTTGTTTATCTCTTGTTGGTTTCAATTATTTATCAGTAGCATTATAATTGAAATAACCAGGGTAAACAGTTACTGATGTCAGAATGACATATTGATTCTGATAATTCTACAAAAACATTCATAACCTTAAAGCTGGACTTCGCTCCGAAACGCAATCTTGGGTTGTTTCGGGGGTGAACTTTATCATTTTGAGCTAATGAAAGATTATAGAATGATGAACAAATGGTGCAAATCTTGTGTAGAAATACTTACGATAAATGTGTCATTTCAAAGATTTTTCATTGAATTGCTTCGATCGGAGCCGGCAATATGATTTTGGAAAGGATTCTAAATGAAGAACGTGACGTCACTTCCGAATCATAGCATTCAAAATAAGTAGCGTTTAATTACTTCTCCCATTCATAAGAATACGGTGGTCGAGCGGTAGAATCCTCGCTTAGCACGTGGGAGGCTCGGGTTCGAATCCCGCATTCGCCTTTTTATTTTTTTAACCAAATGATTGTTCTTTGATATTACGCAGAAAAAACAATTTTTATTTACATAAACTTTATATTAGAGCTTGAAAATGTAAGAACAATATATGTCAACATATTGCGTTTTGGAGCGATGTGCAGGTTTAACATTGATTTGCTATTTTGCTCATGAGAAATATTATGTAAATCTTTCCCTAATTTTGACAACAAACAATACATTGATAAACATTCAAGTGGGGCCATTTCAACTATAATTTAATTTACATAATATTAATTTACAACAAAATGAAAACTACAATATGTATGTAAAATTGTAGCACTTCGTCAGGCCCGTAGCCAGGGGGGGGGGGGTTCGCAGGGTTCGGGCGAACCCCCCTGGCCAAAAATTCTTTCAAAATCATGCAGTTTTTCACCATTTTGAGCACTTCTCAAGTCATTTTAGCCATAGTTGGGCCAAAATTGTCAAATGTGAACCCCCCCTGGAAATTTTTGAAAACTGAACCCCCCTTGGCAAATCCTGGCTACGGGCCTGTTGGTAGTTGGTAGTTCTGAGGAAATAATTACACAGTTTTGACAATAATCAGAGAACGATAAGAGAAGGGAGGGTAACATGCAAAAGCTCCTTAATAGCTCCCTAGGTAGGGACCTACTTTAACAATATATATACAAATGTTTAACATATTTCAGATGTCTCAGCTGATATTTGTGGTGCTGTTTTCCTATTTTATATTGTTTGATCTGCAAAATCATGTTCGGAAAGAGCCCACTGTGATAGAAATCATACTTATAGTTTGGACCACAACTCTTCTCCTTGAGGAGGTCAGACAGGTATATCACCTATTAATATTTAAAGTCTGTAATAAAACTGTATTATAAATATGAGTATTTGATGGCTTATATTGCAGATTTTGAAATGAGGGACATCAAGACAACAAAGAAAGAAAAATATTAAATGTCAAACAACTAGGTCTTTTTCAGGAAAAAAAAAGTCTATATATCATTAAATGAAATCATATGTACTTTTTCTAGCAATGGTGCGATTGTAGCTTTATGATATTAGTATATGCAATTGTAGTCTTTGATTTATTACAGATTTCATTGGAGAGAGTTAAATGGCTGAAGAGTATTTGGAATATTATAGATTGCACCGCTGTTCTGTTCAGCATCATTGCTTTCATAGTTGGATTTTTCCACTCAGATGAGACCAGTTCGGTAATCCGTACATTATACTCTCTGAGCTGTCTGTTATGGTACTGTAGACTGTGCAACATCTATCTCTCCAATGCATACTTTGGACCTCTCCTAATAATGATCCTAAGGATGGTATGTTCATATTCTTAACATATTTTGTTTCTGAATTTAATATTACTTTTGACGGAAGAGCAGGGGTAATATTGTCGTTCGTTCGGGGTACATTTGTGCCTAGCCCTAAGGGGTGTATTCAACGATATTACACCTGCTATGAGGTCTATATTACGATTCGAAAACTCACCAAATGTTTCGAATATTCGTTATGGTCTGCCATTACTACGACTCGCCGTTATGATGTCACACATTACTTGTATTTCCAGGGGTATTGTTCGCGAATATAACCCGGTGAAATATTGACTTTGTTCACAGTTTATAGAAGGTGTGAATACAGTCATGTTCGAATGTGTATTATTGCAGATTTCAATTCAATCAAATTAAGAGTTCTCATCTATTATACTCTACATCTTCACATCCTCCATACGCAGGGCTTCAAAATCAAGAATACATTCTTCCTTTTTACACCCTGGGAAGAAGGAGTTACGGATTCTGGACACCTGCTTAGGAGGATGCATCTTCAATGATCTTGATTTTGTTTTTAATTTAGCATTTTTGTGTCACCACTACATTTTAAGTCACCACCACAAGTGAATGGCAGTTCGTGTTTGGCTGTTGGTGTTCAGCGTTCAGTGTCTGTAACAAGTGGCAAATGGTGACGTTTTGCATGTTATTGCTTGGTTAAATTGTCTCAGTCTTCAGTACAAAAGAACTATGGCCCCAAACCTGATTAAATATGTCCCAATTGGTTGATATGTTGCAATATTACCACCATACACATGCATCATAGACCCAGGATTTATAATATAGCCAACAGTAGAAAAAGTACTGTACTATAAAACCTATGGGCCTATGATATGAATCAATTTAGTAGTGAAAGGCACATAAATCGCTAAACAGTTTTACATTAAAGGGTTACGCATATCGTTTAGCAAATTGAACACTCGTTTCTGGTGTTGCTCACCATTTAGTATAAAAGGCCCGATCCCGGAATAATACTTAAGGGTTCACAGGCTCGAGGTCGTTGTGTCAACACCTCTAACTGTTATATATAGCATTAGTATATTATAGATCGTCACATATTTGTAAAAGGGAGCTTTTTATTTTGACAAATCAATTTCACATTGATGGGTGAAGTTTCAGGATCTTCTATTTGTGTATAATAAGGAAAAATTGACATCTAAATTTCTCCATAACGTAACAGTACACAGCTTGGCCTATGAAATATCCTCCAAATGAAACAAAGTAGTTTTAATACAAGGTTTTATATTTGCTGTTGTACATGCATGATATGAGCAATCACTCTCTGAATAATGTTGTCAGAATCATTATAGAGATTACTTTATCTTCAAGACAATTTCAATAAACTGGATTTTACAAAACTCCCCTGATTTCTTAAAAATGGACTGATCCAGTTGACTTGCCCGGAGCCGCCATGTTGTTTTTTTATATGGGAAGCTTATCAGAACCCTTTAATGATGAATAAAATGTTTGTACTTCAGCTGAAGGAGGTTGTGTATTTTCTGATGGTGCTCTCAGTGTTTCTTGTGGGTTATGGGGTAGCCAGTCAGGCCCTGATGTACCCAAGGAGGAAGCCCTCGTGGGAAGTCTTCAAGCATATATTGTACTTCCCTTTTTGGAACCTTCTAGGAGAACTCAACCTGGATGAGGTTGGAGGTGAGTGTAGATTTTAGGGTAATTATGTCTGCACCACAAATGGTGAAATACTGTAATAGTCCTGAACCTTTTTGTGGATGGTGTTTTTGGGGGAAGGCAGCGGTCAGGGATGGGTGCTGTAACAAATGGCAGGTAGTGACATTTTGCCATGTTAATGCCTTGTATACTAATATGTCAGAGCATGACATCTAAAGAGTCAATAAAAGATGTATACTGTATATAAAGATGGCAGTATTGTTGTTAAAATATTAAAAGTAAACAGGTTAATTACACTGCCATCTTTTAATGTAATGATAAACATTATTACTATTGCCTGTATTAGCCTATATGAAGGTGATGGTATATAAATGATAAGGTATATCTGACTAAATTGTATTGAATATGTAGATATAAGTAAGAATCATGGAATATATTGCATTTTTGCATAATAACTTAAGGTTTAAATATATAGATTTTGTTTGTTCACCAAACAGTTGGATGCAATGACATTTTAGGCACTTCAATACATTACATTCTGATAATATTCCCCTCCATTTTATGAAATAGGTGCAGAACAGTGTGATGCCGAATCTAGTGATTGCCCAGTTCAGCATTCATTGGTTATTATAATGTTGGCCGCCTATATGCTGTTTGGCAATGTCCTTATGATCAACCTCCTCATTGCTGTCTTTAGGTATGCATCTTCTTCATTTACTTCATGAAAACAAAGTGTTATAATGTATTTGAACACTCACAAAAGTGGAAAACCAAACATCTGGCGCTACTAGATTTGGCAATTTTGTCATTTTTGCCTTATTGGCGGCTATTTAATTTGGGGAACACTAGGGCTTGGATATTGCTCTGACACCACAACTTCCATATACACTGGAACAAAATACAAATTGTTATACCTATTCCTTTAAGGTGGGACCTGGTCCGTCAGCCAAAAAAAATCCTCGATAGATTTTCCTGAAAATCGCACAGTGTATGTAAACAAGTGGTGTACATATGCTGTAGAAATTTTAAAAAGAAAAAAATAAGTTTAGATATAGTAAGCAAGGTTCAAAGATCGTATTTTTGAGGAGCCTATGCTGATTAAATTGTCATATTTAACATGTAATCCTATGGGAAAACCATACACTTACTTTACCCTTGGGAGATCTCAATCTACAGAAAAACGGCTCGATAGATTTTTTTTAAATTTCAACATTTCTTTATTTGGGATATGATTATGCTTATGTTAGTTTTTTGTAAAAAGATTACAAAAATTGTAGTCAGGGTATTCAGTCAAAGTACCTTGTATTTTGAGAAAATATCGGCATCCAATTCCATCCATTGGCGGAGAGAACAATTGAATTACGTCATAAATTTCTCACCTGAATGATCCGACAAAGATAAAGACGATTCCCGGGATAATGGGGTTTAGCCTTGCTAAATCAAATGTAGTTAGTTGATTTTGAATATAAGTCAAACGGTATAAATTACTACCACTAAAGTTAAGCGTCCCACAGTCTTTGAGAATCAAGGACGTCGTATAGGCCGAGTACAAAGACCGTAAATAACGTGCTAAATCAACGGCGGCCGATCGCAAATTAACTAACTATTAATTAAATTATCGCCTCATCTACCTGCTATTTTAAGTATTGATGTAAGTAAAAGGAAACTTTTTTTTTTTTTCATGTGCCGAGATTTAATTACGTATACGTTGTGTCAAATCATATCATTGAATCATATCGTCTTTTTTATCTTCAGGTAAGTATTGCCCATTATTATGGACCTTCTTTATTTTGATTTTTCATGATGTGCAAACAGAAGTTCCGCCGATCGCCAATCGCGCACTTTGGCAATTCACTAAGTAAAGGTGATCATCAAACGTTTGTAATCACCGGTTAATATTTAAATCAGAAAGCCTTATTTGTCGAATAAATTGTGCACGTCTGACTTGATTTAGTTAAAATTCGAGTACTATTGATGTACGTACAAGTTAGTTAACGTCGGTACGTTGTTCTAGTTTGTTGATGTGTAATATCGTTTTGTCAACTCACGTTTCATCAGCAAGAAGTCGGCACTCGCGTACAACAAAAAGTCAAGCATATCATATGTGGTATGATCGTCATTATTGAATGACAAAATAAATAGCGCGATCGGGATGTACCCAATGTCTGCGGCAACAAGTACGATGGTTGAGTTCACTGAATGAGTACACAAGTTACAATGAAGTGTGTACAAAACATAAAAGATCCCATGGAAAACCATATATTACTTTACTCTTCAGCCCGCTTCTCTAAAGAGAGCTTCGTCTAGTTTATAACTAGACTCTGAGTACAGGGAAACAGAAAACGGCTTGATAGTTATTTTAACTTCAACATGTATACGCCATGATGATGCCAGCTTATCTCAGAGTTTTGTAAAAATGAAAATAAAAATCGTAGTCTCAATATCTTGTTTTAAAGTACCTTATATTGTAAGCTATATTGCATTTCTTTTATTTTCTTCAATATTGGTGATAAGAAATATTTTGCAAAACAAAATTACCATATGGGCGTTAACATCGATTTACATTGATGAATTCTTCTTCTAATTTTTCAACAACTCTTCTAATTTGATAGAACATCTTTTCATAAACTTTTCCTAAATATTTTGATTCTAGAAAAGTACAGTGGATACGAATACGATGAGGTGGATTGCCGTGCGCGATTGTTTCATGTTAGGTACCTTTACTATAGCCAGACTTGATTCTCCACTCTCGTCATTACCAGTTTTTCAGTCGGAATAATGCAGTCGACCTGACACGCGGCCTTGACAGAACTAACCTACTAACCTAGATATGCGACCTACTAACCCAGAGTGAACTAGCAAATTTGCATAAAGTTTTTGCAGTCTGAATCCACTATTCTCAGTCTAAACTGCCTGTTTAAGGAATTGCATTTATCTGTTTGTGGCCCCGCTGTTTATTGACTGATTTCTAAATAGATAATACCATGGTTTAGATAGGAACGATGTCTTCCATGTGGTGCATTTTTGTGGTGATGAACTGCGAGAAAACGGAGGAAATCGAGGGTAAAGCCGATTGCTTGAATTCCAAGTTTCACTTAAGAAATGCTGCTTTCTGATTGGTCGGATTTCTTGCAGTCTGAATCCACTTTTAGGTTTTCAAACTCGACGCCAGTTTTAGAAATGGCACATACTCGATCTTTTTCTTCTCTATTTCTCTGTCGATTTCTAAAAGAATAATGTCATCGTGAAGCTGACCCAACACTTTTCTCGATGGTATCACTTTTAAAGCGATCCACTAGTGATAGATAGGTGAAATTCGAGCGTGGAGACGTTTCTCGAGAATCAAAGATTATGCGCTTATAGGACATACTGATAAATCAGGCATTCTGATTGTTCGGCTTTTTTGCAGTCTCAAGCGGCACTCTATTGTGAAGGACTCACAGACGTAACTTGCCAGTATGTTTTTCATTTTAATAATAATTCTAAGTATATACCTTCATAACGCCTTCATTAGCGACGATCAGTCGCCGTACAGCATTTTGTCTCAACCCCGGGGACTCAACTGGCGACATATTACACGCCTGGGGACACGCCCCTTCGCACTCATTGCACTCTTCCCGACATTGGGCATTGATTGTGTTGCCATTGGGCCAGTTGCACTCGGTTTTAAAAATTCTCGGATGTTAAGATATCTCTTATCAAACATTCTAGCATGACGAATTAACAATTCATATATAAAAAAAGGCAAAGAAAATATAACTAGACGAAGTTCATATGAAAGCGAAAGTGATAACAACTAGGACGAAAGTCGTGCCAATAAAAAGGATAATCTAAAAGGTTTTACAGATAAGAGAATATACAATTTTACGAAGTAATAAAACGAACAAAAGTCATTTTTGAATTTATTAAACATAAATACAGAGTAATACGTATTTATTACAAATATAAATAGTGCGACGACTCGTCGAGAAACATTTAATTATATTTTGAGCAACATTAGATGTGACGTGTCGGTAACCATGTTCACAGTGATCAGGACTCAACTAGTGTTTATATCACATCATATTTTTCATATGCTGTTAATGTAGAACAAACAAACTATGTGCTTTAGATTAATTAGTTTTACTATGTTTTGAAAGAATTATAACAATATGACTTAGAAAAATTCAATCATTCATCGCCATATACTTCATGATGCTGCACGTAAAATTTGAGCGCCATTGTTTTCCCATGTCATAGAAACCATGACGTTACAAGCGCTCAAATATTTCAAATGCAATACGCTAAATTTCCCAACTGTAAATGCCCGAGGATGCAAATATTTCTTCGTACATGAATATTTAAATACATTTGTATTATTATTACATCATAATTATTCGTATGTATGGGTGTCTTTGAGCTTGAAAAACTACATTAATAATTAAGCAATAGTATCGTGCTGGGTATGCTGACGGACCGGGTCCCACCTTAATTCAACTATTATATCTAGTAATTTATTAATGAAGCAACTCCGTGAGCCAATTTAGAAGTGACATGTTCTGATTACCACACTTATCCTTTTCAGATTTTAATTGGCGAAGATGTAAATTGGCGATTTTTTTCAATTTCACCAAAAATCGCCATATTAAAGCGGGCGTCAAATTAACCCAATCTACAGTAGTACATCATTCATGGCCACACTTGGATATTAGTCAATGCTGACTTATGATCTTGTTTGGATGAAATGTGTAAAACCTCTATGGTAGTTGAGTTGCCATTTTTCAAACCCCAGTAAATGCGCACCAGATGTAACATTGTATGTGATCCATCCAAATGGGTAAAATAAAATTGTATTTGTATTTTCAGTCACATATTTGAGGTAGTGAAGGGTGACTCTGTGGCCATTTGGAAGTCAGCGAGATATTTTCTAGTCACAGAATACAAAGACAAACCCTTTCTTCCACCTCCTTTCATTGTATTCCCTTTGATGTGGAGGTTTGGAAAGTATATGCTCAGCAAACGCTGCACAGGAGAAGGAGGGTGTTGCCCAAGTAAGTAGTTATATAAATCTTATTTCACTAAGTTTTTTTATAGACATTGTTATAGTCTCCAGCTTTTTTTGTGGATGGTGTTCAGTATTCGGTGGTAGGTGTTTAACAGTTGGTGTTTTTAACGAATTGCAGGCGGTGACATGTCGCATGTTAATGCCTTGTTTATTTTTATGTCACCATCTAGAATTGGTGATTAATTTTTATCGTACCTAATAAAGGTACGATATTGTCGTCAGCTTGACAGGCGGTGGGCGGGCGGGCGGGCGGCGTCTCACTTTTCAGCTTGTCTACAGGTTTCCAGCCAAATCATTTGATGGATTCATCTGAAATTTTCAGGGATGTTTCTACGTATCAAAGTTAAGAACTGATTAGTTTTTGGGCATTCTGGGTAAATTTTAAGGTGGCCATTTTGGATTTTCCATCCTAAAATCTTCACTTTTAAGACTTGTCTACAGGTTTCCAGCCAAACCATTTGACGGATTCATCTGAAATTTTCAGGGATGTTTCTACGTATCAAAGTTAAGAACTGATTAGTTTTTTGGCATTCTTGGTAAAATTTAAGGTGGCCATTTTGGATTTTCCGTCCCAAAATCTTCACTTTCAAGACTTGTCTACAGGTTTCCAGCCAAACCATTTGACGGATTCATTTGAAATTTACAGGGATGTTTCTACATATCAAAGTTAACAACTGATCAGTTTTTGGGCATTCTGGGTTAATTTTAAGGTGGCCATTTTGGATTGTCCGTCCTAAAATCTTCACTTTCAAGACTTGTCTACAAGTTTCCAGCCAAACCATTTGATGGATTCATCTGAAATTTTCAGGGATGTTTCTACGTATCAAAGTTAAGAACTGATTAGTTTTTGGGTATTCTGGGTAAATTTTAAGGTGGCCATTTTGGATTTTCCGTCCTAAATTCTTCACTGTCACACTGCTGTGTTTTAGGTACAATATTGTTCACGTCTGTGCCTTGTTATGGTATAGACACACACTGCACTTTCTCAACAGGTGGTGACATTTTGAGATCATGAACAATGGATATCTTATTTGGAGCTTTTACATGTGGCCTTACATATTGAAACCTGATCTCTGCCCAACGTGGCTAAACGTCATATCTGAAAAATCATGTTTTATGCAAAATTTGAATGTGTCTTAGATACTATTCCAAGATCTTTTAAAAACTCTACAATATCTGAATCTGTAGATAGATGTTTCAAAAAAGTAGTAGAAACGGATATAATATGTTACTTTAATATTAACAAATCTGAATATACCAGTTTTAATATGTATATTATGTGATTAAGAAACCCGTCACAGAAAGGTGCCTGACTCCACTTTGCAATGGTTCGAGAGTGACTGCCTCGCAAACTACATGCTACATACCAAGGAAGAAAATAAGAAGTCACCAGAAGAAATGTTGAAAACAATCATGAAAATGTAAGTTGTATTTAGTTTGCTAGTTACAATTAATTAAATTTGATGTAAAATTAACTCTCAACGTGTACAATACAATGCATAGTTTCTATTAGGGTGTAAAATATGTAACATCGTATAGTACAAGTAATAAAGGTACATACAGTTTTTGAAATGTTACATGATTATTTTCAGTCAAAGTGAAATTGACCAAGAGAGGACAGAGAACAAAGATAGACAACGCCAACAATTTCAGCGTGAACTTTTACGTCGTAGATCCTCTGTAGCAGGACCCTCTCGTATTGGCCTCCAATCCAGGAGAGCTCTGCCAGCGAGAATGGCTGAGGAACCTCCAATGTCACCTGTACCAGAAGAAGATGATGTTAGGGACACCCTGCCTGTTATGAAAGTGAGGCGGGCGACACCATCAGATTCCAGGAGAGCTCTGCCAGCGAGAATGGCTGAGGAACCTCCAATGTCACCTGTACCAGAAGAATATGATGTTAGGGACACCCTGCCTGTTATGAAAGTGAGGCGGGCGACACCATCAGATTCCAAAGATGATAACCTGAACGATAATGTTGATGATAACATTGAATCTGTTAGCAGTGCTAGAGAGCTGCCTTCTTTAGATAGAGATGATACTTTTGATACACATTTTGATCGATTAAATGATCATTTTAATGATATGCGTCCTCTTAGATCAAGGCTGCCTCACAGAAGCAAAATTAACTTTATGGACCTGTATGGATTTCCTGGGTGGTGATTGGTCAAGTACAAATTAATGGATGGATTTCTGGCCTACTTAAGCAATAAGCCAGTAGAGAAAGCAGTCCCTAATTCAGGTCTTACATACAGCTCAATAAAAGACTACAGATTGTATAATTTACATGTTTTTACATACAAGTAAACTGTTATGTTATCTGCTGAAATATTGAATAATATAAGACTTATGTACTTGAAGGTTTTGAATACAGGGTTTATCCTGAAGATTCCAAAATTATGTACCCTGTATGTTACTATACCATGATATATATCCCCTCATGTTCTAAGATTCTCAGTATGGAATACATTATGGTTGAGTATAGAATGTTCTTGGTGATTTGTATAGTAGGTCAAAATTAGGTTGTATGGTTCCCTTTGGTCACTCGTGAATATATCATATACTCACTTGGGTATAAACGCGATGTACATAGAGATTATCCTATATGAGGTTCAGAATATTGGGATTATCCCGAGGCCAATATAATATATCTGCCCGTATATCCCATACCAATCACATTGTTCAATTGGCCAAAGTTCAGAAACTTTGCAACCAACCATGGAATCATTTTAAAATATTCATGTCCAGTTTTGTATTCCTGTCCGTAGCCGGATTTTCCTGTTCAAATCTTTGATTATTAACGGGGCATACTGCTCCTTCCCTTCTTTAAAGCATCAAACAGATCGCGATTGTCTGCGTTTTTCTCCATCAGTGTCGTGTACAGTATGCGAACGTTCCAAAAAAGAACGGGAACAGCGATTATGACGTAGCGGGCAGATATACTATATCTGCCCGCTCGGAGCGGGACGTAAAGCTATATCTGCCCGCTGATGAAAATATAAGTTTTTACAAACCGGCTTTATGTACCCGTAACACGTCCAAGTATGGGATAAAGGGTGTTTCATAATGACCGTCCCCCCATCCACAGGCAATCCTACTTCACATGCCCCCATAATCTATATACCATAAAAAAGTGTATTCAATTCTGGACTTATGTGCCAAATATTAGAATGCCTGGTCTTTGAGAACATAATTTGTGAACTTATATTTTGTAGCCACTATCCCCTCAATTTGCGTGATTTGTGGCTACTATTCCTGATGGATTTAAAGAGAAAAGCAGATCGCTATATTTTCCATTGTATCATTTAGAGCTCTCTGGGCATTTCTTTGAACTATTTAATACTTTTATCTTTCAAATATCATCAAGATATATCTTCAACATCCATCAAATGTTAGAAGTTGTACATTACTATACCCAGTAGTGTATTGAGGCATGGTTATCATAGCTGTTTGCAGGGTACATGGCTAATTTTGGAAAAATGTGGGTTTCAGATTCTATGCTAAAGGTAAAATGGGTACCTTTTATAGAGATATGTAGCAAGTTGTAAAAAATGTTAAGCTTAATCAAAGTTGATTCAATAAGTCCCACCCACTGGATTTAGTAAATCAAATGAAATTAAAAATGAATGATCCTCATTCTGTATGAAATGTATAATTACATATACAGGGTGTCCAAAAAAAACAGACCGTAAAAAAGTTGAATAACTCGGTCAATTTTGCATATTTTGCCTTGAAATCCCAGAATTGTTTAGTTCATTCAATGTGAATTTTGTTGTGAAAGTTTGATAATAATCTACCAATTGAGTAAAAAACTACAGCTCCTTACAAAACATGCCCCAACTGTGCAAATCTCATCTCTATGCACAATTCAATCCAAGAACAATTGCTACTGGGGCTAACATCCTCCTGATGAAGTGTTACAGCCAATGCACTCCCTGGGTGGCAATGAGGAAACATGGAATCATCAGTCCCTTTTGGTTCGAAGGTGACTGGGGACTTGCTGTCACCATGAACAAGGACCAGTAAGTTCTCACCAAGTTTAGGAGGTCACTAAGCACCAGAAGGGACATCTAAGGAGATAATTAAGCAGTGGTTTCAACAGGCCAATACCACCCCTACACTGCAAATGATATGCTGAAATGGTTTAGGCAATGCTTTGGTGGTCAGCTCATCAGTTGCAGAACGCAAACCATATGGGCAGCTCATTCGCCTGATCTAAATCCCCCAAATTTTTATCTTTGAGTATTTCTCAAAGCCAATGTGTATACTGACAGGCCCCTAACAATCTTCAGAGAGCAATAACTACCCTAATATTTACCATCCACATTTATATGTATAGGTAAGGGTCATTAACAACTTTGTTCGCAGGATTCGTTTGTGCATAGAGAGGAGAAGTGCCCACTTTGAGCATGTTTTGTAAAGGACTTTAGTTTTTGACACAATAAACAGATTATCATCAAACTTTCAGAACAAAATTCACATTTTTCAAGGCAAAATATGCAAAATTGACCAAGTTATTCAACTTTCTTATGGTCCTGTTTTTTTTGGACACCCTGTAATAGAGAGTTCAAATAAATATGTTCTCCCCTTACACCCCAGTCACATTTGTCGCACGGCAGCCGCAAGTCGACCGCAGCAGATCAATTAAATCGGTGAATTTCTGCGGCGAGCGTAGAAAAACTACGCTCGCCTTGCGGCCTCCGTACGGCGTATGCAGATTTTTACAGGCCGCAGGGAAGGCGTAGAAATTATAACTCGGAGTTATAATTTTTGAGGTCGCCGTAGAAATCAACTGGCTCAACAAGATTGAATCATTATTTGTCAATGTTTCACGATCACTTTTCATTTGATATTACATCCTAGCACTATGAATAACATTTATAAGTTGTCCCGATGTAAATAAAATGAAAAAAGTATTATTTATCAACAGAAATTTAAAATTCACCGTGCGGCTGCCGTGGGAAATGTGACTGCAAAAGTATGAGAGCGCAGAAATTCCACGGCGAGCGTAGAAATGTTACAGGCCGCAGAAATGATAGACCGCAAGGTCGCCGTAGGAAATGTGACTGGGGTGTTAGCTTTAACATCCACATAATGGTGCATAACTTTTCTGTCTGTCTTTTCTTTTCTTTCTGTCTATCTAAATTGCTCTTTAGCACATTAAAACTAGGCTTCATTGAGTAACCCCACGAGAAGTTTCAGTTGACTAGCTCGTAGATGCTCTTTTATGCGCAAAAGTTAATACTTTTGAAATCCAAGGGGAGAACATATTTATTTGATACCCTGTATAAATTGACATTTAATAAGATTTATCTTTTTGTAATTTTATACGTATAATATATAGAAACTTTATCAGTTAGTAAGGAGATAAAAGTCCCCCCTCAATCAAATTGTCATTCAAAAATGCATTTACTTTTGTTGTTATAGTTTGGCTGTTGGTATTCGGTATTCAGTGTCTGTAACAAATAGCAGGTGGTTACATTTTCCATGTTAATTCCTTGTTCAATGTATGTTTATTATAGCATGACCAGGAGCATAGGAGAGCCTACTACTAACATTAGAGTTAGTTTTCATTGAAACAATGCCCGATGACATCCACTTTATGGAGTTTGATCCAATCGATGAATAGGAGATTTTGGTGCTTCTTTAGCCTTGCCCAAGTCGGTCTCTTTTGCTTATCTTGATTTCTATAATAATTCAAGATCAGATAAGTAAAAAATACCAACTTGGACAAGGCTAGTGCTTCTTTTGCAATTATATGTTCAGAATGAGAATATATTCCATGAAAGTTCTCAATACATCTATGCATTAATGAATGTTTCAGATACTGTCACTTGAAAATTTGAGTCCGTCGTTTTATGTTACTGTAGATACACTTAATTTGACGCAACTTAATCTGGCATATTTGCTCAATTTCAAATATTGGCGGTTATTTAAATTGGTGGATTCAGGACTCCAGTTTAATCATTAGTGTCACTTCAACATGTATTTACCAAAATATTGTCTGGAGTTCTCTCAAAATAATGTAGAATTGACATTTTGACAAAAGCTTTGGAAAATGACGCCTGGAAGTTTCATCCCGGAAATGCACTGGATACACTGAAATTTCCCTGAGGATTTCCAAAATACATCTGAAAATTGGCAGATTTTTTCAATCCGTCAAATTAAAAAGGTAGCCAAATTAAGTGTATCTTGTTGGTTAGGAAAAATTATGTTCCGTGTTCTTTTTTAAATTTTATACATTGTTAATGAATATTCATTTATTTTTATATTTTACAACTGCACTGCATATTATATCACCATTGTTTATGTTAAGAGATAATAAATGGATTGAAAATAAAAATCTTGATTTTGTATTCATTATTTAAAGAACATACTCATTAAGCATAGTAATGACTCGGTTGATTTGATTTACGTCAACCATACAGCAGCCATAGCTTCCCTAAATCAAGAGAAATATGCAGCATAAAATAAAGCATTTACAAATTTACGATGAGAATTATGAAATAAATAAAACTGAATTGAATTGAAACGATCTAGATTTTCTATATCGATTTTTATGAAGCTAAGGCTGTTGTATTGCCACTGTAGAGCAAATGTAACTGAGGCTTAACAGATTCTATCAATTTGGTAACCATCCTAACAAGAAAAAAACATGATATGGTGTGCCCAGAATTTATTATATACACTACGGATTAATAATATACAATGATGACAATATATTTTACATATTTACATGGAATAAATAAGAACTGTTAAGTGTACCAGATGTGAAAATGAGTACTTTTGTTGAAATATCATTTTTTTCATTTACCAAATGAGAAGAAATTTTAGACTGGTTAATCCTGTACTTTCATGTTCTCATGGCAGAGCACCCAGTTGACTCATGCTTAGGATTCCAATCAGGCCTATCTATGTTAGTCTCATCTATCACTAAAGACCACATTCTATGGGCTAGAGCTCCATTCACAACATATTGACCAGTTTGCCCAAATACATGATTATATTACAAGTAAAATAGACAAGATAAAACTAAAGTATAATTTAATTGTATGAATAAATTGAAATGGAACTGAATTGATTTTAACATTATTTAAAACTAAACTATTCACACTACAACCTAAATATTTCCTGGTGAAAGCCCTGTCAATGAACATATGGTAAACTAAAGGTAGTGATCTCCCCAGCATTTAAGCATGTGGGCACAGCACCCACCCGAGATTTAGAAAATAGGCTTGCACCCACCTGAAAATCCATTTGCACCCACTTGAAAATGAGAAAAATTGGCCTATTTTGACAAATTTTGGTCTAAATTGTGAAAATGAGAATTTTGCATCCACCTGAGAAAAAATCCTGGGGAGATCACTGAAAGGTATACTAAAATGTGACGAACCAGTTTGACTTGAAAATTCACCCGAGCGTGTTTGATGTTTTGAGTACAATATTTGCCTATAGATTTCTTACACTAATGAGTCTTATACAGAAGATCAATTATGAAACTTCAGATCATATATAACAAATATGTTCTTTAAAAAGATTGCGCTTTTTATCCTTGCTGGGATTAAATTCAGACAATTTAGATCAACCTTGATTTCTCCATATTATAGGTATTCAAATTCAACACCTGTCACTTATCAACAAGTCAACTAGTTGTTCATGTCATGCAACAATTTAATTCGTTCTGAACTACTGCATTTTATAACATCACTGGATCTTATATAACTTATATAATGTTGAGTCTGAGATGAAGTTCTGTACATTATATACAATCTATACAGATTACAGGATCTAGAGAATCTATGGATTCTAACTCTCATATATCACTCTTGTCCATAACTGTTTATATTTCACATATTCATTCATTGTAATGTTTCCCCTTTTGTCACCTGAAAAAAATCAAAACAAACAAAATTAGAAAAATTAAATAAAAAAGTTGAGATAATAAGAGAAATTAATTATCCATTCTTATTTTTCAACAGTGTCCGTAAAATGCTTGATCTAATATTGCACAGTTAATGCAGGAACAATTAGTCTCCAAGTCTCTATTATACCTATCGGGAACATGAGGTTGATAATACAGCCATGGACAGTATGAGTGTGAGTAGTTCTAATATAATAAGCAAAGTAGCTGTTCCTTTCTCTCAAATGAAACTGAATCCCATACTAGTAATTATACTTGTATAGTAATTCATCCCATTTGGCATTTTACATATACAACATTTCTCCCCTTGATACTCTATAATACCTATAAAACTCTGTTCTACGTCTGACATTCACTTTATATTTTTTATCCTAAAGTTGAATAAGAAAAGGAGACCTACCCTTGCTTCGATGTACTCTACTCTGCGCTCTAGAGATGTCAACTTCTCATTGAGGGTTGCTAACCTTGACCTACATGACGTATCTGCAAAAACAGATTCAACCGTTACTGATGAAAGAATACACAATTCTATGGTTACACTTGTTTAAATGGTTCATACTGTATATCATGTTGTAGAGTACAAGTAAATGTATATGAAATATTCACAACAGCAGGCTGGTAAAAATACTGTGTATATTTCTTGAGAAATACTCCATTGATGTATATAAGGCTCTTGCTAGGTCTTTAGACCATAGTGCAGATGCAGCACCATCACTCATAGACGTCATAGCCTATCTTTCTAGAGATCATCATATTAGGTTCGCTTTGCTTGCAATCATAGTCTATCTCACTCAAGTCTCGAGTCAACAAACTTTTCTTGAGATCATCATATTAGGTTCGCTTTACTTGCAATCATAGTCTATCTCACTCAAGTCTGGAGCCAACAAACTTTTCTAGAGATCATCATATTAGGTTTGCTTTGCTCGCAATCATAGTCTATCTCACTCAAGCAGGGCACGCCTTAAGCGTCGGACAGCTGGTCATTATCTGGTTACTTTTGATACTGACCAGTTGATTTTTTCACTAGGTATAGGAAAATAACATTGCAACTGGTCAGTAATGCCTTTTTGACCAGCAGCTCTGGAATCCTTAGGGCATACACTGCACTCAAGTCTGGAGCCAACAAACTTGGATAGCGATCACTATATTAGGTTCGTTTTGCTTGCAATCATAGTCTATCTCACTCAAGTCTCGAGTCAACAAACTTTTCTTGAGATCATCATATTAGGTTCGCTTTACTTGCAATCATAGTCTATCTCACTCAAGTCTGGAGCCAACAAACTTTTCTAGAGATCATCATATTAGGTTTGCTTTGCTCGCAATCATTAGTCTATCTCACTCAAGCAGGGCACGCCTTAAGCGTCGGACAGCTGGTCATTATCTGGTTACTTTTGATACTGACCAGTTGATTTTTTCACTAGGTATAGGAAAATAACATTGCAACTGGTCAGTAATGCCTTTTTGACCAGCAGCTCTGGAATCCTTAGGGCATACACTGCACTCAAGTCTGGAGCCAACAAACTTGGATAGCGATCACTATATTAGGTTCGTTTTGCTTGCAATCATAGTCTATCTCACTCAAGTCTGGAGCCAACAAACTTTTCTAGAGATCATCATATTAGGTTCGCTTTGCTCACAATCATATTCTATCTCACTCAAGTCTGGTCTGAGCCAACAAACTTGGATAGCGATCACTATATTAGGTTCGTTTTGCTTGCAATCATAGTCTATCTCACTCAAGTCTGGAGCCAACAAACTTTTCTAGAGATCATCATATTAGGTTCGCTTTGCTCACAATTATAGTCTATCTCACTCAAGTCTCGAGCCAACAAACTTGGCTAGATATCATTCAGGCTGCATTCCACAATGTAACCTAGCAGGATGGATGACATAGAACAAATTGATAAGTAGACCCATGGTAACATTTCATTATTTCGTTATTTTAACCACATGTACTGCTCACCAGAATTTGGGTTTCGATTCTAGAACTCCTATTTAATAATTCTCTTTTCGGAAAGAACCTCAAACTCAACAGATCCGCCATTTATACAGCTCACTCAGCAGAAAAATGGAGGCCATTTTGAAATGAAATTCCACTTTGCTAAATTAAAATATATATAACAATCGTTTACATAAAGGTATATAATTGTAACATAACAACTGCGTGTGTCACCATATTTACAAATATTGAATATCAGGGCAGCTGTAAACAATTCCTCAAAGTCGGAATATAGAGAAGGCTTTGGACCTTAGTAAATCTAAATAGTCCATCAGCCAGAGTGACAAGTAGGCTTTAAAGGCTAAATCATGGGCTTTCAAGATCCATGGCTAAACTGAAATAAATAAAAAATTAAACAAAAAAAATTCATAAAATTTTACTCAAATTCAATTTTTCCTCTAAAAATTTGAAAATAATGAAAAAAATATATACGTACCAAATGAATTCAGGAAATCAGCTATTTTCTTAATACTGCATGTGATGACTTCTATGTATTCTCTGTTGGCCCAATCTTGTTGAATTTGTCTGTGAACTTGACTTCCTTGTTCTCTTGACGCCATTTTGAGAATTTCTGATCTCTTTAGTAAGCCTAAATATGATTGGCTCAAAACTGGACTAATCTACAAAATAGGCCAATGAAATCTTCGGTAACAAATTTGTGAAAAGTCAAGGTCGAATCAATATTTGGAAAAAGTTTGCTTTCGGTATGTTTTCAATTTTAGTCTATTTTATCGAGTTTTCCCGAGGACTTACAGTGAAATTCATAATTAAGCTTACAAGCCGCAAGTTACAAGTGTATTTGATGCATGGAATCTCAACTGTTGAGAACGTTGGAACTTGTAAATTCCAAAGTGACAGTCACTGATTCAGTCAGTGAGCAGAATTTTTTGGGGAAATAGAGCTAGGATTACACAGATCGCAGAGTCTAGTGATAAACTACCCTCTGCCTATTATAGATAATATTACAGTTTAGCCGCCCCGCCCCAAAAATTGGTGCCTGCGATAGTCCAGGTACGTGATAAATCATTTCAAATCTACGACGCTGACCCTTTCTCAACCAGTCAGCGAAGTGGAAGGAGGATGTGCTAAACACGTGCTCATTAATTATGCGGTGATGTTGGAGGAAGTGACAATATATAAAGTCGACTGTATTTTGACGACGAACTCTGATTGGCACGATCGTACGATGAGAGCAGAGATTTATTGTAAACTGAAAATTGTAAACTTGTTCCTTGTAAACTGCCTTAGATATCAATTCTTATCTGATGTAAACATCATATCTGACTCTGAACATTAGTTCAGATATCTATAAACTGCCTCTTCTTAAATATTTGGAGAGTGTAACCTGGGCTTGGTCTTGAAAGCCAATGGTGTCACGCTAGAGATCTTCCCCTGACATAGTACATGTACATGTTGTTTAGAGATAGTACATGTACATGTTGTTTATTCAGTGCGTAAAAGTGAGAATCAGGAATAGTTTGCGTTATTGTCTGACAATAATAACTGGCTATAAATTCATAAAAGCAATATGAATAATCCAAAATATTTGAACCACTTTGATCCCTTCTTGGTCAGTTGTTTTATTTTATATGGTGATAATTGCAAAACTCATGAATTTGATAGAAGTGAAAAATGACAACGGTTTAATTTTGAATTTTGCAATCACTACATAAAAGTTTGAAATCAGAAAATCAAATTTTCCAGATCACAATTCCACACCTCACTTCTACAGTGGCCCTATTGGAACATCAGTGTTAACCTGTGACCTGACCATTTTCTAGAGCTGGCATCGAATAGGATTTTAATGTCGACATGTTGGAGCTCTCGATCGACAACGATAACGACATTGTCGGGTCCAATGATAGACTAAGCTGATTCGAAAAATGAAAAAATTTTGAAGAAAATCCGTCTGAATTTTAGATTTTCTAGGCTTGCAATTAGCAATACGATGCACAATAGTCATCCTCAGTTGTATGTTTAATATTTAACTTACAGGTAAACCATGTTCAAGTATCAGACTTTGACGATTTTTCTGTTGTTATTTCCGGGCAGCCATTGAAAATAAATCTTGAGAGTAAATCTCGAGGGGCCCCGAGACCTAATTCGAGAGCAGGAAGTCGATCAAAACAAAAAAGAAAATTTGAAAATGTAGGCGGTAAAACTTCACTAAAATACACCATACAGCAGGTAGTAACAAAGATTTTAATTCATAGGGAAATAGCTTATTATGTTGTGAGTTCCGACTGTCGATCAAGAGGCGTTGTGTCGACATGGGTGTCGCAGAGAGCATTCGACTGACAATCGACCATTCCGACATTTGATGCCAGCTCTACCATTTTCTCTATTCTAGTAAAGTTAGAGAATATGTGTTGTTTGGACTCACTTTTTCCTGGAAGGAGCTACATTTTGTATTATTTGTTGATCCAAATTCTTGTGTATAATCACTCAGACAGGGCTGCCACAGCTCTAAGTTAGACAAACTTAGATCAAGTCCACTACTGAGGGTCATAATATCTTTAGATGTCTCTGTCTTCGAGTCAATTACACTGTTATAATTATACTCTCAATTATACTGTATCAGTTTATTCTAGACATGATTTTTATAGATGTCTCTGTAATCTGTATCTATTTTATGTTACATTTTTTACCATTTTTATTATCTACAAGTCGGAGAATAGCGCTTTGCTCTAATGTTATCTATACATTAAAACCGACGTTAAATAGATATTATCTTATCTTACTGTAGAACTACTGGGCCTATTGTATCAGAGTTTTTACCTATACAGCTTTATCAGAGTCTCCAGAGTCTGTAAACCCACAAAAATCTCAGATTTAAAAGTGAGGGCCAACAGTTTGGGTTGGCACCTGTCATCAGTCAGGTATTGCTCCATCAACAACAAAGCAAATTTAAAAATGCATGTTGTTCCTTTCAGTGCCTGAACACTGGGATTTAGGTACCGATGGCACGCACAGAATCATGGAAATACATAATTGGTATCATGTCATATATTGTCTATGAAGTAGATCGAGCTGAAAATGTTTAATGTTATATTTTATATTCTAGAATTTTCTCAGATACCTTCATAACGAATTCTGCTATCAATGATCATTTAAATCATTCTTTGTGTATAATCTCCACTGCGATAGGAAGGTGTGTTATTAAATCACTTTTTCAATTTTTTTCAGTTCAGGATGATGCTACTTGTACATGTATTATATAGCTGAAACCATGGAAAATATAAAAGAATCCAAAAACATCTTTGCGTGAACTGTTGATGCACAAATAACTCGAGACAATGGATGAAGTGACACACACAAGATTTAGACATACCCAAATAAGGACTCAAACATCTCTTGCTATATAGCCCAGAAACCCCCAGGTCACTATATTCTACACGATGGATTTACTGAAATGTGCCACAGAATGGAACCTATAGGTAAGTTTCTCAATAATTTTAATTTTTTGTTTTTGAGAATTGTACATAACAATGTCATATTAGGCACTCCAGTGTATAATATACAAAACGTAACTAAAACTAGATTAAACTAACTAATATCTACAAAAATATAAGTTATATATATGATGTATTATCCAAAATAAGCTTTTGTTAAGTGGATGTCTCATTCAATGTCAATATATTTAAGAATTAATTTAATAAAAAACATTATACCACTTTAAGACTGATAGCTTATGCCAGCTAGGGGTCAATTCCACATATAGATACTATTATTTGAGGATGTTTGTATTATTCCTGTTAATTAGACATGCTACATGACCAACTTTTAAGAAGTTACAAAATTAGCATAATTGCTTTTTTCAGGGCCACCTTTTTCACCTATATTAATTAAGATAAGAAAAGGTGCAAAACTTGAATAATTACAAAATATCCACAAATATATCTTAAGCACACTTATTTATGTACACATGTACACATGTACAAGTCTTTTTAGATATAATTGTGCTCCTACTACAACACATGATATTGAATCATATTTAGGTACATCTTCAACTGCATGATGTAATAGAAACATTTAACATTATTCCAGAGAAGTAAACAGCCCTTTGTGCTTTAAAATTGTGTTTTTCTGAAATTTCTGAAGGACCTTTTCCTAAAAGGTCCAAAAAGGTAAAAGTTTCTTTGCTGAATGTATGCACATATGCTCAGAATTGGAGTGAATTATGTCACAGAGCAAATATGAAATATATGACTACATGTATTAGATTTGTGATCCTACTATGATATTGCATGAAATACAGTAAAACCTGTCTAATCCGAACGCCATTGGGACCGGCTTAAAGTGTTCAGATTAGGAGGTGTTCACGTTTCGAGGCTTTTGCATTCGTGAGATTCCAGATTCTGAAGAAATGTGAACACATTAAGATACATATTTATAGTTAATTTGACCAGATTAGACAGGTTAATATTCCAAATATGACTGTTCATTGTTCAAATTGAGAGGTGTTCACATTTCAAGTTTTTTTAACATGAGAGTCAATGGGAGGAAAAAATGGGACCGACAAAAAGTGTTCGGATTGGGAGGTGTTTTGATAAGCCTGATGTTCAGATATGCAGGTTCTACTGTAGATTGAAAACAACTTCAACAGTTTGATGTTATGGAAACATTTAACATCAATAATTGTTTCATATCCATTATATAGATATTCTCCATTTTTCTGGTGTGGTATTCATTAGCACTATTTATGGTACACTGTATCTTTATTGATCTACCTGAAACATATAATATCGCGTTTGAACTTTATTGTGCTTTAAGTGTGGCGTGTAATTAGAAATCTATATCAGTAGAACTTGAAGCATAATCATAAATGTATAGGAGCTATCAACTGCAAAATTAATATTTATATTATATCTTACAAAATATTCTTCAGGAATGATTGATTGATCCCATTAATCGCAGATTATTCTGTCATCGTGAATTAAATTAATAAGTGCCCATGGGCGATATAGCCAAAGTGCCTCATTTCAATATAATCCAGTAGTGTGATTAAATTGTTTTAATTATAGATTTCATAAATCTATTTAATTATGGATAAACTGTCAGAAATAAATTTTTGAACCATTGACATTTGAGAGGAAAAGTTCATACATCTGATTTATTTGGAATCTAGTTCAAATAAATCCAAATAATCAAATATGAACAATTTTTGCCAAGAGGAGATTTTGTTCTAATATGAATTAAGGGTACATGTATCATGTACAAAATTGTTTATTATTTATTTGGTCAAAGGAGACATCAATTAATTTTATTCGTTATTTGCATAAGTCTCGGTTTGCTTGGAATAAATATAATAGATTATAAAGACACAACCATAAAACAATACAGAGAATTTGAATGGAGCTCTAGATATGACAGTAGGAGGATGTTCAATCATCCTGATGGAGTAATACCAGATTTAATTAATATTACCATAAAGGACTCAAACAAGGTATCTTGCAATAAGCACAAAATTAAAAATGAATTGACCTATGAAGAAATCAAAGACATTAGTGATATAGCACAGAAATATGCTATATTCCTGAAAGGGTTGAAGATACCACAAAGAAAGAAAATGCGTGAGATTCTAGAAGATGTAAATGTAACAAATGTTTTAATTGAATCATCAATACACCAGAGTAAAGTTACTCGAGAGGTATGCGATGATCAAATACATCACATTTGCAGACCATTGATTAAAAATTTAGAATCGAATTTACAGGAAAAATTTATTTTACCATTTGAGAACTTTTTTAAGCCATTTTCAGAACTAAAACACACCAAATTCTTCCAAGAATTGCAAGACACATTGGAATTATTTCCAACAAAAATTGTACACAGTATTGGCATCACTTATCTTTACATCCCATCATTTATCAATTGGATGGTGGTTGCTAGGCAACTGTGCACCCCACCTATTGGTGAAAAAATACTTGTATATACTCAGGATATTGAAGTTTGTGAATTTCTGAATGACAAGAAAATAAACGTCATCTGCTTACATTATGACATTGATGAACTACGTACGACTGATAATGTCACAGTTAAATTCTCCTCACGGAAAGAAAACACAGAGCAGCGTCAGATGATGTGGATAGCCCGGGTGTTGCTATGGCGATTGGTAAATTATCTTGGATATGATATTGTGACATTTGATACTGATGCGTTACCTATCCATCACCCAAGTGTTGTATTTGACAAGTTTCCTGGGGCAGATTTGATTGGTTCCCAGAATGGCCGTTACCCTGGTTACCTGTATACTTTTTGGCAACTGAGGACAATTAATATGGGGGTGGTGCTTATGAGATCATCCCTAAATAATAGTGAGTTAATATCAATACCATCAAATTATTGATCAATCAGTCAATCAATCAATTAAACAAATAATCTATCAATAAATTAGTCGACTAATTTTTTATTTGATAACCAATTCACATTTCAATTTTGGATTATATGAACCATTACCATATCAAGTTTTAAAGTTTTCTCAATTTCTGTTTTGTTGTTTTCAGCAATATTCTGGGACATTGTTGGGAAATTATCCGAACTGATCAGGCCAGATGACCAATGCCTTTTTAACCTAGCCCTACTTTGTTTGAACACCAGGTGGCAGCACCCTCCACTTAGATTCACGTATACCCCTGAAATTAAACCGTTCAGATATAATGAAGAACTTAACATGGGGAAGGTTCCCATAGTTGGCAATACAGACTATGATTTGAAGGTTATTGGAGTTCAAGGTCATCAGATCTGTAGAGGTGCTTGTTCGTTGAATCGTCTTGACGACATCATTGTGTGGCATAAGTGTGCGAAACATCGCCAAGGTCCACTCTGGTTGTTAAGCACTGATTGGACTACAAAGGATTTGGTTACCAAGGGAGATCAATGGCTTTATCTGATAACAAATCAAACATCTTTGAAATACATTAGAAAGTTATAAATGAGTAATTAATTAAATTCATAATGGACTAGAGCTGACAGTGAATAGGTTTTTTGGACTCATGATTGACGATAACACCAATATTGTCTGGTCTCATGACATATTCTTAAATCGCAAGTTTTTTTAGTTTAGAAAAAATTGTCTTTCGCAGTGATTGACAATCATATGATGCAATCTCTGATTTGAACAAATCTGTTTTATAAAACAAAATGTAATTAATTTAATGATCGTGAACTAAATGTCACACCTAACATACATTAAAATGTTTAAAAGGTTAAAGAGCTTGCCCTGCATCTGCTGTGAGATTAATGTTCAGATAGTGAGAATTTAAATGAAAAATATGCAAAATCATAAATAAATTACATATGAAAGTACAGGGTGTCAAAAAACAACAGCACCCCCCTCTACAGCAAAATGTACTTAATGTTGCATAGTGTGTCATATCCCATTTTAAAGACAATTTAATTCTGGAGTTACTTGAGAAATTTCAGCTCTGTATGATATTATTTTGCAGATTTATAGCTGATTATAAGTAGTTGGTATGGCCATCACTTGCAGCTCGAAAAGCAGCTAATCTGGATGGATATGACTTCAGTGAAGATTCAAAGAGAGGTTCAGCATTGCGTAATCCTTAAAGCACTTTCCTCATATTCTTCAGAAATACATCCTAACTGTATCTATTTTCAAGAGGCCCCCTCTCCATCAATTCCCCTACCCTGTCTTTCACAATTGAACCTATATGTTCAGCATAGTTGAGATCTGGGCTATTTTCTACATATTATTCATTTTCAAGATTTGACCTTAAAACAGTAATAAAGTAGCAAACAAAGTACTGAAGTAGCAAACTTCGAAACAATATAGCTTTTTTAATTTAAAGTTTTATTAAATGAAATTTGATGAGTACCTCCAGAATTAAATTATCTTTCAAGTGAGGTATGACATGCCATGTAACATTTAGGAGTTTTTGCTGTAGAGGGGGGTGCCATTGTTTTTTGACACCCTGTACATACAATTAAAATTTTGTATTTGAATACATCTACTTTAAACAATGTTGTCATGTAAAATGTCTCATCTCATTGTGAAGAACATCCCAATATAGATAATGCATGTATGCTTAATAGGGTATCAACATTAAAGGTGTAGGCTCGTAGCCAGGGGGCTTGATGGGTCAAAAATTCTTTGAAATTCATCCAGTTTTTCACCATTCCATGGGCTTTCTGTTGAAACCCCATGACCATTCTGAGCATTTTTAAGTGATTTTGGCCATATTGGACCTAAATTCTCAAAAGTAAACTCCCTTGCATATTTTATAAAAAAGTGAACATCCCTCGGCAAAAGCTGGCTATGGGCCTGAGTGTGTGCATTGTACATGTTTATGTCTAGAAATAAATCAGGTAAATCTAATGAACACTCCAGTCAGTGTTCACTTAAAGGGAGACTTTTTTATCTACTATTTTTTTATCGTACCTAATAAAGGTACGATATTGTCGTCAGCTTGACGGGCGGGCGAGCGGGCGGGCGGCGGGCGGGCGGCGTCTCATTTTTCAGCTTATCGTACCTAATAAAGGTACGATATTGTCGTCAGCTTGACGGGCGGGCGGGCGTCGGGCGGGCAGGCGGCGTCTCATTTTTCAGCTTGTCTACAGGTTTCCAGCCAAACCATTTGACAACAACTGATTAGTTTTTGGGCATTCTGGGTAAATTTTAAGGTGGCCATTTTGGATTTTCCGTCCTAAAATCTTCACTTTCAAGACTTGTCTACAGGTTTCCAGCCAAACCATTTGACGGATTCATCTGAAATTTTCAGGGATGTTTCTACGTATCAAAGTTAAGAACTGATTAGTTTTTTGGCATTCTGGGTAAAATTTAAGGTGGCCATTTTGGATTTTCCGTCCTAAAATCTTCACTTTCAAGACTTGTCTACGGGTTTCCAGCCAAACCATTTGACGGATTCATTTGAAATTTACAGGGATGTTTCTACATATCAAAGTTAACAACTGATTAGTTTTTGGGCATTCTGGGTTAATTTTAAGGTGCCCATTTTGGATTTTCCGTCCTAAAATCTTCACTTTCAAGACTTGTCTACAGGTTTCCAACCAAACCATTTGAAGGATTCATCTGAAATTTTCAGGGATGTTTTTACGTATCAAAGTTAAGAACTGATTAGTTTTTGGGCATTCTGGGTAAATTTTAAGGTGGCCATTTTGGATTTTCCGTCCTAAATTCTTCACTGTCACACTGCTGTGTTTTAGGTACGATATTGTTCACGTCTGTGCCTTGTTTTTATTTTTCATCACGTTTCATTTCATTTAAACCATCTATCCAGTGGTATGTCATCTATGTACAATTTTGCTATTGTATTAAGTGTAAAATTATACTGCTTTTGGCCCACCCTGTGTTCAGGATTGTTCCAGTTTTATTTAACTACTGACAAAAGCACTTTCTTCAACAAGTTGATGATAATGGTAATAAATCAATTATGATATTTTAGTATGTAATTTATTCATCTCCGTATAATCATTAAGTATACCTCATTAATGTAGGGGTTGATATGTGATGAATGAATTCCTTACATCTGCAATGTAAAAATAACTAATTGTAGAAATATCATTCTGTTTTATCATAGTTAGCCTAAGTCCCTTTTTTATTTTTTTGTTTGAGATGGGATCATACAATGGGGAAATGTTAAATCAATTCCGTTTAATCAAAATATTTTGATCTTGAACTTTTCTACCATCATGTCTGTAAATTCACATAAAATTATCTAAAATTTTTACAGTATCATTAATTATTGGTAATAATATTAAAGATCTAATAGCAAAGGTTTTGCAAAAATAAATCAATGCAGTGTAAAACAAATGTATGTATAATGAAGAAATAGATATTTAATGAAAAAAATAGATATGTGTTTGTAATATTGGTATTAACTTAAGATTAAAAAGTGTCACTATCTCTTTCATTTTTCAACAAATATAGGCTCACGTGACATATGACGCGGGGCAGTCAATTTTGATCTATCGTAGACCATATCAGTATCAAACTGCCGATATTTCAACCTCGTCTTGCGAGGCCATTTTTATTTGAAACATCTTGAATTTGGTGTCAAAATAAAGCTGGTCACGCCCACTTTCAGAGTTATCAATGAATCATTTACTACGGCTACTATATTCATTTAGGAGGCGTGTAAAGTTAACCAATCAGAAAGACAATTGCTCCATATATGACAGTTCATTAACATATTCAGTGTTTACTATTGTTTTTCGCGTCATGACAACACGAGTAGTAACCAATCAAAATGCCGTATTTTATCACGTGAGTTCAGAGTGACATGCACGACATGTAAGTTTAGTCTGAGCTGATCGCGATGTTGAACAATTTCTTCTCGGAATTTGTCCAGAGAAATCAGCGATTCTTAATTAAGGTAGGATCTCCCATTTCTTCCTGTACAAGTTTTAACTTATCTCTATCGAATCCTAAAGTTTTGGATAAGATATGAAGCATACGTTTAAAAACGAAGCGATTAATTTGACGATCTGATTTTGCAATTTGCAATGGCCAATTTACTGCAAGTCTGCGTGTATTTGACAAGAGATAGCGCCAAGTCTTGTATCCGAATGCTTGTTAAGCCACTCAAAAACAAGATCCATATTTTCTAAATTTGATAACTTTGCAGAGAGCCCGTTTTCATAACCTGTTTGCCGCGTCTAAATTCAAACTGAGTAGGATTATAGGATCGCTGGGATTCTCAGTCAATGGCAACGGGTCTTCATTCCAGAACGCACATTTTTTTAGTTGATTCTCCGTCATAGTACTTGTCTAAAGTCCATATCTGCTCTTTTACTGGCATACTTGGACATATTTCCCCTCCTTAAATTGTCCTCCTTAAATAACACCCTCTCGCCGATTTATATATAGCCATTTCCCAGAACCCGGGAGTCAGAATCGCTGATGTTTGCCATATTGAACATGTTGAAATATGTACTGTAATATCTGTAATACTAGGCATTGCCTGCTACGCGTAAGGGTCACGTGACTAGCGCGATACAGGAAAAATGGGGAATTTCGAAACAACAATTTTTGGGCACTTTTATTGCAAATTTCAGGTATTTATAAGTGTTTGTGGTATAAACTATAATCCACAGACATAAATGAACATCCAAACTACATATTTTATTACGTTTTGGAGCCTTTTTTGCTTTTAAAATGACATCTTTAATAAAAATTCCCAACATTTATATTTTATGTAGCTGGGGCATGGCACTAGTCTGGTGATTGTTAATCAAGATGATTTTATATACAAGTGGATAAATGTATTTCTAGTGACTAGTATGCAGAAAAAACGAAGTCTGGATGTACAAGTATTGTCACGTATCATGGCCTGAAGGATGAATTCAATTTTGTTTGAAGAGATGTTTGATCATGTCTTGAAGTGTTGCATGAGAAATGTTTGATGTCTCACTGGAATCAATACTATTCTCTTGAATACTATTGCATAGGGTTACATCAAACCAGGCTAATGTTTCAACAACTTATTGCCTATAATATGATCTTATAGATTCATACTTCTTACTTAACATATATAGTAGACTATAGGTTTCAAGCTGTACAAATATAAAGACTAAAGACGATCATTGTTAATAAAACGCCAACTAACTTCCGACATTTATTCTTCAGTCAGCCTTGGAATTAATTTAAAATGCAATATGTTACCATTAGCTGATTATATAAAACGCAATAAACAGGAGGTTGTGCTTCTGGGAATATTAGAAATAACGAAACACTCTCTTATTTTGTAAGTCTTCGACAAACTCTCAATGTGCAATAGGGTAGGTAATAAATACAATTTTCTTTATTTTTGTAAAAAGTGCAATCAAAGGTATAATTACTGATTAGAGATAAAGAGTAAGACAGTAATAGTTTCACAAATTATTTCTTATTTATTTAAAATACAGATCTTAACATTAATGTGTTTTAAACTGCATCTTATATAACTCATTTTAGTATGTCACCTCAATAAGAGGTGAAATTTTTAGAGTCGCCAATTTTTTGTGGACATTGTTTGGTGGTTGGTGTTTGGCATTTGGCAGTTAGTGTCTGTAACAAATGTCAGGTGGTGATATTTTGCATGTTATATCTTGTTTGGTTAGTCAAAATAAGGAATTTATTTTACAAAAAGGTTTGCTAGATTTTTTCCTAGGTTTTGCTAGCTTTGTGACATACCAATGATAATGTGACTTTCTGATCTACCCTACCTGAACACTGACTAATAAAAAAAAACTCAAGAAATTTCGTAGAAAGTATGTGGTCAAATTAGACTGGTTAATTTTCCAATTTGGGATGTGCTCACATTTAGGCACGGGAGTCAATGGGAGCAAAAAAATTGGAATCAATAGGAGGAAAAAATGGGGCCGTAAAAAGTGTTGAGAGGTGTTTGGACTAGTCATGTGGGTGGAGTTTTTATATGCAATTCTATCTCTAATCGCCACTTTCTGATAATTCCTAGTAGCCTTGTTATGTTTCTGGAATCCATATTCTGTTTGATTGATGAGACTTCTGTCAGATGTGACATATATGAACATAAAACTTAATGTAAGGTTACACTTTATAATGTCAGTGCGTGATTATAGAGACTATTGAGATTATTTGTTAAGGCTCACCTTTTAAAAAGTGCTACACTATTGATTTTGATTAGAACTAAGAAATTTTTTGCTTTGTGATTGTCTTTTACTGATTTTTCTACCAATTATCTTAATTTTTCAATGTAATTTTTTTTATTGGTTAGCGTCATGTATTGTTGATAAAGAGATGCTTTTGACACCCAAAATTAAATTTTGAGGAAAATGTAATTTATTTTCTTATTTTCAAACAAAAAAGAGAAAAATAGAATATGACTTGTGTCTAATGAATATTTTCAGAATTGCCTTGTTTTTCAGGTCTATCTATTTCAAGTCTATTTAGAATTTATTTTGTTGTGTCATACTGACAGTCCTTTATGTACGCCATTCTTTCAACTGAACTTAACTGCAAAATAATTCCTGTTAAAAATAAACGAAAAAATGATATAAAAAAACACAATATTAATAAGTCTCTTTATTTCTCTGAAGGTAAAGTATATTGTATAGTACTACGAATCATAATGCAAATGATCCTGGATCAATATTATATCATTTTGCCATATTTTGTTCAGTCAATAATCCTGTATGCTAGGCTATATGTAATCCAGGTAGAATGGGAACTTATCATAGCTCCAGAACCCAATAGGGCCAACCATTAGCTTTGGCTTTTATTCTAACAATTTTTTGTCTTGATGCTAAACACTTTGACAGTGTAGGGGGAGGGCGTTTACCAGCAAAGAAAAAATGACATAATTTTGTTTGTGTTTCATTTGATTCAAAAAGTAGGTACACTGTAGTTCTTGTACACTGAATCATTGTTTGAGCTTTAATGGAAGAAAAACATAATTTAATACATGCATGCATACATCAGATGACACAGTTAATTTGTTAGACAGGGATGTAGCAAGGCATAATGCAGGAGAGGCAGGTAGCTTCTATAAAAGATATTCACTCATACAAGTAAGAGGAGGGAAAGCCCCAGAGTTTAAAGATGACAGACATAATTACCTCTCTTGCTTACCACCTTCATTCGTTCGAATTTTCATCAGCTAGTTATCAAATATTACACTTCGATGGGATGTTTTAATTGACATAGGCATATTCCGTACACCTTTCCTTATCTTGATGTGAAATGAGAAGCTATGATATTGGTTAACACGCCAGAAATGAACATAATATTATTCGAAGCGTATTTCGAAAATTTTGAAACCGCCATTGATGACGTCATTTGTTTGTCGACTTTTGACCAATCAGCGACCATGTCATCTCAATACAGATTTACATTATAAGCATATGTCATCTTTGAACCATGGTGTTTCTCCCCCTCTGCATACAAGTCTAATGCTCAGTCCCCAACACATAATTACCATACAGCCTTTCAAGTGATACGTTACCATGGCAACATAGTGATAGATAATTAGTAAATTATAGAATCACCTGTATAGGTGCCTTCATCAGAATTCAATATAAAGACACGCAGAATTGAATTGATACCATTTACCACACCGTTTACTTCAGCTATTACATCTTATATGCAAAATACAACAGGCGAAGATTAAAAATGTAAATTACATGGATTATAAAGAATAAACTTATCAGTGTTTTGTAGAGGTAAGCGTCTTCTAACAAAGATTGATATTAATGCATTTTGTAAGTGCCATGATAATAACCGGATGTTTGTTAGAGCCGGAGTTAATAAGATATGCTTCCCGTGAAGTATACTTCTGCTAATTGAATTAAGTGCCCTTATTGATGAAACTACTTTGCCTGTTTGCATTGTTAAGGTTCACAATGATAAATCTATATGTAAGAAGTTTGAAGTAATTTACCAAATTACTCCGTCTAATCGGACTACCTTATAGGTTTTATAATTTGTAGTAGTGTGTAAATCATCTAATTATGAAAAAATGAGAAATTATCACATTATCCAGGAGCAGCTGAGCTATTTTAATAGAAAGCTGTTCATTGTCTGCTATAGAAAATAACAATACAGCATTACTTGATGATCCAAATCAAAAAAACTAAAAACTTATATTTTGTGTCTGAATTTTGCAGGTGATATGCCAGACAATCTTAAAAACAAACCAGAGATGGATCTACAAGCTGGGATCAATCTAACGTTATGTTCACCGCATATGACACTACGATATATTAGTATGTGATGCCTAGCGACAAGTTGATTGTCAGTGTTAAAATATGTCGTTGACTTGGATCAAGAACTGGGCACCAGAGCCTTCAAATCAACAACACGTGCCTGAAAAAAGTGAATCCACGGCTGTCATGGAATCGCTTCTTATGGAGATGGACTTTCAAATTAAAGAAAAAGATCGTGACAAACGTGAAGCTGAAGTGGAGGAAAAACGTAAAATATCAGGTGGTGTCGATTATTCTTGGCTCATAACACAGCCTCCTAAGGGATACCAGCTTCCACAGTTGGAACATCTTGAACTGGAGGAACTTTGCTCAAAAGTGAAACCTGCGGAATGTGGTCAGGTGATCACGACATTTAGGAACATGATTGAAAATGTGAGGGAACCCAATGAGGTCCCCAAAGTTCTACGGGCTTGCGTGCTACAGGTGCTTGAACGTAGACCCAAAGAGGAGACAATGTCAGAATGGGTCACAAAACGTGCGACCAGCCTTACAAGTCTGCGGTTGAGACCTAGTACGAGAGTTGCCCCTGTCAGATGCGACGAAGATATTGAGATGCAAGCGCCATCTCGTGTAATGTCTGCTCCACAGGCATGTACTTTCTCACGTGAACAAGGTGCCAGGGCTTTGAGTCTCCCAGAATTTTCAGCTCATTCAACCAATGAATATGAACTCCCTGTTTAAACAGTGAAAACCAGCATTTCAGTGTTGTCCATTTGATACATTTTACTATTGTAAGTATTATATAGTACGATCTAGGCCTACCATATTCTTCTCTAAACATTGTAGTACTGGGAGGTTTTGGATATAGGGTTTATCCTGAGGGACATATTTATTTATCCCATACTTGGACGTGTTATAGGTACATAAAGCAGGTTTGTAAATACATGTCCTTATATTTTCACCAGCGGGCAGATATAGCCATACGTCCCGCTCCGAGCGGGCAGATATAGTATATCTGCCCGCTACTTCATAATCGCCGTTCGCATGTTGGTTCAATATGTAACGTTCGCATATAACTGTAAACGACAATGGAAAAACGCAGACAATTGCGATCTGTTTGGTGGTTTATAGAAGGGAAGGAGCATCCTGTTAATAATCAAAAATTCGAGAAAATAAATGTGGGTGAATATCTGAAAGAACTGGAAAATCCGACCACGGCCAAGAAAACAAAACTGGACATGAATATTCTAAAATTTTTCCACGGTTAAATGGAAATTTTCTGAGCTGTGACCAATTGAACAATGTGAACTAGATGACCAAGATCGGTATGGGATAAACAGATCATCCTATAGTCGGTTCAGGATATTGTCATTATCCCTTGGCCAATATAATATATCTACTAGAGGTGTAACTCCCGAGTCAGTAACTTGAGTACAGCTCGTCAGAGCTGCCTATACATTGGCTCGAGTTGTCCTCTAGAAACTCGCAATCTATTTCAACTCGCAAGCTAGCTATAACTCGAGTCAACTCGCGAGTTTCGCCTATCTTGCAAGCATGTAAAATTAATTCGGGTCCCAGAGATCGTGCAACATTACTTCATTAGTGGAATAAATATACCAATGATCGCCATATTTAGCTCCCGTTACCTAAAAAACACTCTCAAAGCTTCACAAAGTTCAACAAATATCGTGGAATGACGAGTTACACCTAAAAAATCAGAAAAAGATCGACTATCGAAGGAACTCAACGGGCGATATTATAGAGTAGTCACTAAAATTGAATAAAAATGGTGCCCTTATTCTCACGTCGTTTACACGACTCTTACATAAAAAAAGATGATCTATCATTGAATTAAGATCATAAGTCTTAACTTTAGACCGATAACCAGCAGTCTTTAGTATAAATAATGAAGATAATCCGGGAAGACCATTCATTAGTTTGAGGGGCCCTTCTGGGTTTTCTAAAATATTGTTTGGTTAGATTCTAGCGATCTCTCATCCTTACCGTATGCGGCGACGTCTATACTAGATCATTTTTGATTGAAATATGAGATATTAAAACTGCAATGAATACCACACTTTCTTATGGCCTCAACGTGTTAAACACCTTTTAGATGTGACTAAACCAGAGAAACTTGCCGCTTGAAGTTACAGTAATTTTGTATACCCGGTTTACAATATGTACTGGACGAAATGAATGAATGTTTTGGAAATATTTGGCAAGTTGAACTCGAGTTGGATTTTTCTGGCGAGTTACACCTCTAATATCTACCCTCGGGACCTACGGCCCTTGGGCAGATATATTATATTGGCCTCGGGATAATTCATATAGGATAATCTCTATATCTCCCTGAGGGACCGAAGGGACAAAGGGGAGATATAAATATTTTCTGAGGGATATACCCTATATCCAAACGGACTGTACATAACTGGTGTATCTCATACTTGAGTGGGTTTGGGGTAGATATAACCTTTTCCATCTTTTTCAAATGACAAGGTAGGCCTATACTGTAAAAGCACAATTTATATTTAACATTTTCATAATATTCCTTTAGTTCAGTACAATGAAATTGTAACATTTAAACTTTTGTAATTGTATAACAAGAACTGTTTATGAATATACTGTTCAAGAAGTATTTATCCTCCAGGCACAATGCGTCATTACACTGCATGATAAAAAGAACGATTATATTGAAAAATTCCCGAGAGCCGGATAAATATGTTATATCTTCCCACATTTGGCCATATACATTGGGACATATACAATATATCCTGCCCGCTCCTCAGATATGATAAATATTCCTGAGTGATATCTACCCCAAACCAACTCAAGTATGAGATCCACATGGGCATTCAACTAGAACCTCATGGTATATATTAGCATAATATCAGTATATTTTCACCCTTGAAGAGAATATTATAACACAAAGTGTTGTTCTCCATCAGGGTGTGTAGTTATACCAGCTCAGATTGAATCAATCTGGAAAAGCAGATTTAGTAGAAATAAGATTTGTCAGAATAATGTTTTATATTATAATTTTAATGTTATTTTGGAGTAATTGCATGCCTGTGGCTAAATTGAATGCCATTCAGAATTTATATACATGACTTTAAATGAGGAGTCATAAGACGTACATGTTCATGATGTACATGTAGAATTGTCTTGGTCTTATGACTCCTTATTTAAAAGTCTAAGACACTCATGATTTCAAAAAATCTTAATTTATGCCTTGATTGATTGAGAATTCAATTCAATTTTAGATTTTTTGCCTTGAATGTCACTCAAAATTATACGGATTCTTTATTTTGTGCCTTGAATAACAGTGAGGAATTTTATGTGTATGCTTTCAGCTTGAGTGACAATCGGAAAATATCCATAAATATCTTGGACTTGATAGAGCCAATACCGTGTGGAATACAGTCATGTTTGTTTCTGCTAAATTGATTTAACTCATTCATATCAGATATAGATTATTTGATGAGAGTCTGTGTCCCTTGCTTAAAATATCATAATGACCATTTAATTCGACGCCATATCTCCCTTGAATGAAATAACACTCTTCTAAGTCACACATTCTAGAATTCCATTATTCATGTCACAACAAAATAACCGCAGAATTTTCATGAAGCTGTATTTGCGTGATTTGTAAAGCGATATTTGTACATCTTTGACTTCACAGGTTCCATCATTAGTGTATTCTGCTACTTTTCACCCAAGATTGATTTTTAGATACATGACCATAAAGCAATCCTATTTTCCAGCTACCTTATACAATAAAATTGGGTCACCTTCAGACCTGGATAGAATTAGATAATAAATCATCCACTTTTACGATATATAATCCAAGCATGTTTTATAGAATTCTAGAAATATAATGTTAATCATATTGGCCATTTTTCTTGACTGTAATGGATTCATGCCAAACAACAAATATTTACTACCAGTATTATTACCACGTTACAGTCACCTACATACATCCCCTATATTTATTATTTTTTCCTTGAAATAAATTGTATATAAAATATAATGTAACAATTAATGATTTATTATGCATTATCTCACACAACCATTGTTTTTCATTGGCATTTTATCCTTTGTTTATTCCTTCTAAATTCCTGATTATTTTCTTGTAAAAGCCACTGCAAAATGTGCTTGAAATATATTTTTGCATGATGATCATTAGAGGATGGTTACTGAATGTTTGCATGTTACATGATTTTCATAAGTTACTATGGTGTATTGTGTATGCAGGATACATCATATTGATATCTTTTATTTACATGTTATGTCACCACCAAAAAATAGCAACATTTTTTATGTGACAATTAAGTGGTAACATATTGTTATAGACACCATTTTTATGTCACCACCACAATTGGTGACATATTGTTAGTTTCCAACTTTTTTTGTGGACAGGTGTTCGTCAGTCAGCATCTGTAACAAATCATTTTATCTCTATATTTCTATATCAAATGACAGGTGGTGACATTTTTCAGTGATGCCATGTTAGTGATATGCATTTAGCATTGATGACTGAAACAGATAGTTAGACTTTGTAATTTGCAATAACGCAACCAGTTGGTGGTATTTTTCCATGTTAATGCCTTTTATGAATTGTCAACAGCTAGTCATTTAATATAGTGCCTATATGTATTTTAAGTATATGAGTCAGGTGATATATTTTTAGGTTGTCATATTTATATCATTAAATATTTATGTAAATGTTATGTAATTGTAGGTTTGGATATAGGTATATCATTAAGGAGATAAATTATATTTACCCAAAGGTCATAGTCATGCTCAGCAGGGATTGAGGAATTTATTTATTTTTTCTTACTAAAGATAACATCAGACCTTAATATGGTTTTCATGAAGTCTTGCTTTAAGTCTGTGTCATGCCCCCCCCCCCCCTCTGCAAAAACTCACCCCTTCTTGGAGATGAAATAGATATGATGGGGGGGGGGCCTAGACTCTAGAGACTTCGAGCAAGACTTGATATCATACTGCGATTGGAAATATGGAACCATATCATTATCAATCATCAAACCCTGCTAATAAAGAGGTGAATAATCACAAGATACATTCCAGTATTAGCTCATTAGTAATAGATAGAACGTATATTGTAAAGATACAACGTAGAGTAGAATCTCATATGACAATAGAGATTAATCAAGAACTACAATGGTAATTTCTGATATATTTCAGTATTTTTGTATGTGTGTATATTATAGCATGTTTCTTGTAGACGAACCTCATATTGTATTGAAGATTATTTGCTTGTATATTTCGGAGAATTTTTACAAAAAACTCTTCGCAGAATTTTCAGTAAATTGTAAATCAGCTTGGTATGTTACCCATTTTGGGAATATTTTGAGTATATTTGAAATTCTGCCTGTTTTAGTCCACTTCTTGTACAGAAGTGTACCTTGTATACAGTATTGCATGAAAATGTGAGATTTTTTGTAATAATTATGTTTTATGTTTTGTTTTTTTGGAGAGAGGTGTTGTAATTTGTTCATTAGCAGGTATGCTTGTTGAAATACCTGTTGGTTAAGAAGTATTGTTGAGTATCATGTCAATGAACATTCCTCATATAAAATGTGTATATTAATATTAAGTTGCTATGTTTTGTAGCAAGTTTATTTTGTTGTTGAACAAATAAAAAAGCTTAGGTTAAAAATTATTTGCTTAGTTTGTCTCAGTTTCCAATGGAGAATGGCTCTGTACATCCATTCAGGACCAGGCAACAACTCAAATACTGTTGGACCAAAATAATTCATATTTTATACATACATGCCCCATGGAAGTACAGGTGGTCAAAAATGTTCGGATTAGCAGGTGTTCG